CGGATGAAGCCATGGATGGCGTATGGGGTTTGGGGCGCTAAACAAAAGTATCTTTCTCCGAGGATCGTGGGTTTGCGGTCAGATCGCAAACCAAGAATTTTGGGATTCTCCCCCGCGGTGTGGAGAGTAGGCAGCCTCTGCGCGTCAGGGACGCCGCTGCAGCCGTACCACAACTGCTGATGTGACTGCACTGCACATTGCTGAAATATCACAAAGTGGCCCCTGCAGGGTCCTAGTGCCTAGGTTCTCCTATGGGATTTCCACGAGTCTCTTTCCATAGGTACTATGGAAGGAAACAGGGGATATGTTATCTCATTTTTATAATTGAACCTAACCGATTCTTATTTCCTCAAGGAAGTATCCAGTAATTAGGTATTATATATATATATATATATATATATATATAGGGGACACATTTGATTATTACTTTGAGACAATTAAGGCCAGGCACCACACCCTAACAGGGTAATTTTCCCTTAGCCTAATCATATCACAATCAACTTTTAACAGTTGAATGTAGACACAAATATTACTTTTTTGTAATACAATTTTTCTGAAATATTGTATTAAAATATGCAAATTAGTTGTTATCTCATGCAAAGAAAAAAATCTAGACACTGGATGAAGTCAGCCTAATTATTTTCTTTCATTTTATTAAGACACTCAAAGAACGGATTTATACATAGCAGATTGTGGATAAATAAATTTTCATGTTTCTATATCTGTAAAATACTAAAGAAAGGTAGACCTACCTAAAATCCATTTTTGGCACATTTTTTTGAATAAATTGTATATATATTTTTAGGACATATCAACAATTCCCTATGTATAAGTCTGGAAAATAAGTCTAAGGATACCCACACAACATTTGGTGAATGCAGATGCTTCTGAGGCTGAGAAAAATTAGTTGGCGTGTGGGAAGAGTCTGACTTTCGGGAAATGGCAGTTAAAGACAAGTACACTGAATTTAGACTGCCAAACGCCAAACACCTATTTAGCCCCAATCACCATCTCTTCAAAGTACGTTACTACACATAGTCCAGTTTGTAACATTCTCTATGAAATGGGCTTTAAAGTGGCGATTCAATGTAGTGAGCTTTGAAATTACAGATATGTCCATTTAAAAGTGGTTAGAATTCATTAAATTTTGATGACGTAGTATGATAAACTAACGGAAATATATATTAGTTTTTTTACTTTTAGAAAATACTAATATTAATGGACCAAAATACTAAAAAATCTCAAAATTGGTGAGTAGATGCAAAAATGCAATTGGTCTTAATTCCAAAGTTGCACATTTGTTTTCAAGTGCAATTATTCAATGAACATGGGGGTTTTCTGACGAGTGAAATTATTTGATATGATTCATGGTTCATTTCACTCCCATGTAGGCTATGTTAGACCTATAGGTGATGTGTTGAGTGTCAATTTTTTAAACTACAGTCAAATGTGATCATAGACTGGAGTTTGATTAGACATTTTGAATTTGATATTTTGTGACAAGTTAAAAAAACGTCCCAAAATTAATTGGCTTTTCCTGACCTTGTATGCTGCATGGCGCATGTATGATACATCCCATATCTAACTGAGTGGAGAAGCTCCCATCTGTACCTCTGCTGCAATTCTAATGAATAGGGGTATTATTTTTAGGTAAACAAAACGTTTCAACCAATACAACAGAAGTGGAAAGATGACTCGACAACAAAGAGGACTTTATGTCTCTCTACATTTGGGTCATAGCCAGATAATAGGGGTTCAACCATCAAAGATAAAGCAGAAGTGTGCAGCGGTGGAAAGAGTACTCAATTGTCATACTTGAGTAAAAGTAAAGATACCTTAATAGAAAATCACTCAAGTAAAAGTGAAAGTCACCAAGTAAAATACTACTTGAGTAAAAGTCTAAAAGTTTCTGGTTTTAAATATACTTAAATACAGTGATGGAAAAATAGGCCTACTTGTCATACTTGAATAAAAGTAAAAAGTAAATGCTATACATCAAATTCCTTATATTAAGCAAACCAGACGGCACAATTTGTAATTTTGATTTATTTACGGACAGCAAGGGGCACACTCCAACACTCCAACATAATTTACAAACGCAGTATTTGTGTTTAGTGAGTCCGTGTGTGTATGTGTGTGCGTGCGTGTGTGTGTTTATGCGTGTCAGTGTGTGTGTGTGTTCCTGCATCTGTGTGTGCATTTGTGTGTTTTAGGACTGTAGGACGACTGTGCCTTGTGGCAAAGTCTTTCTACATCATCACTGATGATTACAGATTCTAATCAGGAGGCTCTCAGGGGAACAACAAGGCACCGAGTGGATCATCACACACTAACACAACAGCCCCTGAGCCACAAAAACACAATACATCAATCACATCACTAAGAGAAATCACACACTCACTCACACACACACACGCACACACATTGCAGCAAATTTGTGGGCAAGCCTGAGCAAGATCCAAATCCACAATTGTGTGTGAATAAGTCCACCATCTAAACCATGTATACCAAGAAATCTGAACCTCTTGATGAGCTGGTGTTGTAGTCCTACTAAGTGGCTGGTGTTGTAGTCCTACTAAGTGGCTGGTGTTGTAGTCCTACTAAGTGGCTAGTGTTCTACTAAGGACGCTACAACTACACTACCTCCATCCTCTGGGAAACATGCCTGGCCCAGCGCTCATCACGATCTCTAGTTCCTCATGTGACTCCAATGTCCTCAGGGAAGTGGCATCCTACTTCTGACACCAGTGCAGTGAGTTCAGGAGATCTGAATAGGATTGAAACCCACAACCTTGGGTCTGTCAGTCGGACATCTAAGCTATTATACCAGAGATTTACAGTCAATCTACAGTAAATGTGTTTGTCAATGGTGTTGTGCTATTGGATGCTAGAATACTGTAGGGACCTTAACCCAGCACCTAGTGACATCGTCAAGAGGTTCGGACCTCTTGGCATAACAGTTAAGGTGTTGGCTTGACAGTCGCTGGATCTGGGTTTGAGTCCCGGTCAGGACCACCCCCTGAATTCGCCACAATATTGTCAACTGTTCAGGCTAATTGATTGATTGATAGTCTGATGGTACTGAGTGATGAGACCAACAACCCATCTTAAATTATACAGTGCTATCTATTGTATTATTATTCAAGAGATAGTTTAGATAATATGTCATTTCAGTGCACTGTGCAGCACACATTTTGTTAAATGTCAAAATGCTTAGTGCCTAGGCACTGGCCTAGACTATGGTAAGCTAAGTACAGACTGCAGTAATTACATTGGAACCTAAAGACCAAACTCCATGCATTGATTGCTATTGACTCACAAATCAATGCCTGCAAGACCATGGAAACTCAGTAAATCAAGTTTTGACAGGCAATGTTTCCTGGTGCATTTAATCATTAACACAAGGTGGTCTACATAGCTCCAGGATGCCTAACTGTGCACCGTGAGTAGCTTACACAGACTCTTTCATTCTTGCTGCACACTCCCAATAATATAATGTGAAACAAATAATGATATTGTGTAGAAATAGCACATAGCCTACTAGGGATTTGATGCCAGTCACCTGACTGTCCCTTTAAACTGGAAAAAATAGAAAACGGCTTTCCAACAGGCTTTTGCGCGTGCGTAGCAACATTTTGGGCATCAAGGCGTTAGTGGAGCATAGAGCGCATTCGGGAAGGAAAACAGGTAAATAAAGTTCAATTATTTGCCATTTTCATTTGAAAAATAAATTTGAATCTTTCGTTTATTCTTGAAGCGGTTAGCTAAAACCTTTGCTCATTGGAATGACAGGAGTCGCTTCTTATCCTAAAATGTAGCAAATCAACCAGCGAAATGGTTACAAATCATCCGATTGTCAGCGAGCTAAACGTTAGCCAGCTTCAATCTCAGATGTCTTCCATCACACTGTTCACACATATCGGCAGCTGTAATAATATCGCCAAAGATTAAAGCAGTTTTTATTGTTCTAGTAACGGTTTCACAATTCATATCCTGTGCCGCTTTTGAAGAGATGGAAGGAACAGGGCGGGCGGCGCTTTGTTTGTTACATTTCTGCTGGTGTTCTATTTCGGTCATAGCAGTAACATTCCTGTGTAACCCTGGTTAGCGTTTGGTCATTTCGTTTTTAGTTGGCAAAGGATGTCTGAAATTCACAGTACACTGCGTGACGGCCATTTCCGTTAATACGTCTGTCAGGAGTTGAAAATTAATAATAGGATTACGCGAACTCTGATGCTCTATGGGAAAAGTAGCCTAAACACCATGTGGAAATTGTAGTTTGGATATATATAATGCTTTAAATGTCTGAATCACCTGTTGTATGACTAGGACTACTATTGTCCTGTTTCCTCTCATTGACTTTGTCCCAGTTAAAAACATGGAACTGACTGTTTTTGTTTAATGTTTTTCTGTCAACAGACACTGTCACCCACCCCAAACAGACCAGCAGGAATAATGTCGAGTGGTACGTTTGTTCTCTGTAGGCTATCCATAGGCCTATGGCATGTACATTTACATAACTTCACTACCTGCAAGGCTGGTCCTTGTTTAAACAACTACTCAACATGGTGGTTTGTCCAAGAAAATACAAATGTTAGCCGACTCTCCCTTCTGTGAGTCTAATCAGATGTTTTTAAACACAAAATGGTTCCTGTCCATGGACTCTGGTCTGATCCCAGATCAGTCCAACAGAGGGCCGCTCTGTCCCCCTCTCTTGATTCCCAGAGTTAGTTTCACTTGTACTGGCCAGGGTTGGCCGTCCTAATCAAAGAAACGTTTGTTTTATACAGAAATTCAGTTAGTAGGCAGCTCCCTCCTTTCTACTGGCTTTGTATCAACCTCTGCTTCTTTTTCTCTCTCTGCCTCTCTCCCGTCTTTCTCTTTCTTCTCTGTTCTCTCCCTGTTTCTCTCTTTCTTCCTCCCCTTTTCCCCCTTTCTCGCTCTCTGTCCTCTTCTCTCTTTTTCCCGCTTCTCCTTCCATCTCTTGCTCTCTGACAGTGTTCCTGCCGTCGGACCTGGCCAACTCAGTGTTGAGCCGGCAGCGCAGGGACAACAGCTACCTGCTAGAGGAGATCAGGCAGGGCAACATCCAGAGAGAGTGCAGGGAGGAGATCTGCACCTACGAGGAGGCCAGGGAGGCCTTTGAGAATGACGAGAAAACTGTGAGTGAGACGCACATGCAACACACACCAACGCACATGCAACCCATGTGTGCAACACACACGCAACCAGGGTTGTGGTCAATTCCATTTCAATTCAGTCTATTCAGGAAGTAAACTGAAGTTCAAATTCTAAAAAACAAGTGTTTCTTATATGGGAAGCATTGAGGAAAATTTGAATTTTACTTCCTTGTTTGTTTACTTCCTGAATTGACCCCAACCCTGTATGCAACACTCGCTCACACAGATGCACACACAATGCTCTTTGTCTCGCTATTGCTCCCTCATTGACACACACATACACTCGATAACAAAAACACTTGTAATCCTACTCCGAGTGTGCTGGCCTGTGGAATGTTCCTGCTTTTCAGGAAGTGATGATAATCAGCAGGAAGAGTAGCTGACTCCCTGAGAGTGCTGCTCAATAGGGAGAGGGTCATTACTGCAACTATTGTCAGGAGAGGGAATGAACAGTCCGTGCAGCACGCACATGTGGACAGCTTTTTGTTTTTGTTTTGTGTGGGAGCTTTCTGGAGTATGACATTCAGAATGTTGCAAATGGCATTTGTAGATTTCAAATTTTTCTTTTACTTTAAATGCCCAGTAATTGATCATTCTGCCCAGTAATTGGTCTGATGTAGCTCTCTGATTGGCTGCAGCAACGGTTCTGGGAGGAGTATGTACGGGAGAGCAACCCAAGTGGCGGGCTGCAGTCGGTGGTGGGCGGAGTCCACTCCCTCTACCTGATCCTCCCCTTGCTCCTGGTGCTCCTCCTCATCGCAGCAGTGGCCATCACCGTGTGGCGGTGCCACTCCCGCAAGCGCTCAGAGCGCAGCCCCGCCCTGGGGGGCTCCAACCGGGACCCCACCCTATCGGTGGTCTCCATGGACCAGTGGGGACGGGACTTCCACGATCACTCCGAGCTCAGCGTCCACAGCAGCCCCGCCTACCCGGGCTTGGAGGTCACGTCAGCGAGGGGAAGCAGGGGAGAGCCACCGCCATCTTACGAGGAGGCGGTCGGCAACACAGATGTGCACATAGAGACAGAGCCGCCGCCTCAGTATGAGGACATCATTGGCCATGGGAAGTGAAGTACCCCCCCCCCCCCCCCCCCCCATGTCCTGTCTTAGCCCAACACCCCACCTCTCTCTCCAGCCCCCATCCAGCTATATCATCCTCCCGGTCTCAGCCTACACCTCGCCTCCCTCTTTAACTGTTACGTTACTACACTATACTAACGGAGAGTTACTGGATGCAATAACGTCGAAGCTTGCACTGACCATCAGATAGGAGTTGAGTGATAGCGGAGACGATACCAAATGTTTGATTTCGCAAAACCAAAATGTACTGTGTTTTTGTCATACTACCATAGATTTATGTTATGACTACCCTGGAGGTTTGGGGCTTGCAAATGAACGATGCATGACAATTGTGTGGTGTAAAGGAAAAATAAGAAAACAGCAACAGTTCTTATTGACATACTTGTAAGAAAGGAGAAAACAATTCTAGAGAGATAGTTGTTTTGAATGTTCAGGAAGTGAATTGTAAAAAAAACTAGCAATTTTGCTTGCATAAGGAGACAGAATTGTTTGCTGTGTCATTTTAGCCATATATTTGGGTAAGCCAGTACTGGCTATGTACACGTGGGCTTATTGGATCTATGCCAGCGTCGTATACATTTGTGGAAGACTGTCAATATTCTCCGACCGTATTCCATTAGGAAATGTCCTAAATGGCACCCTATACCTTATATAGTGCACTACTTTTGGCCAGAGCCCTATGGGTAGTAGTGCACTAAATATGGTATAGGGTGCCATTTGGGACAGAATCTATGTCTGTCTCTCAGAGTGGGACATTATCTGAGCTGTGCTGGCATGGAGCGCGGAGTGACCTGCAAGCGAATATGGGCCAGGAAGCAGAAGAATATGAAGCAGGGTGGAGCAGCAACAACCCATTTTTCACTTGCAGTATTCAATGTCACTATGGACAGTGTGTGTGTGAGCATGTGTGTATATACATGTGTGTGAGAGTGCGCTTGAGTGAGCGTGCTTCTATTTTTTTTACTGCAGATAACGGCAGTGACTACATTGATACTAATGTAGTGGATATGTGGTGTGACTGAAGGCACTTTCTGTTAAGGCTCAAACTGAGCCGTTTGCTAATGAATTCTAGGGCAGAGTCTGTTTTGTTTGGGTCTATTCAGCACAACTCTCAGCAATAATGTCACCTATTGATACAATGGTCTATTTTACATGCTAATTATGCAGCTGGGGGACTAATTGCAGACATCTGCCTAATATTCAGTATCATAATACATGTAATATGACAATGGCCCTGTACACACTTTAGGTTGTACAACTGATTGACAAAGCATTTGACACCATTGTTATGATACCACGGACAGTTTGGCCAGGATTCAATCTTATTGCGCGCTTGCCATTTTAAAAGTAATTTCCATTAAGCTGTCATCTACAGTGTTTGTTAATGCAGGAACATTGCCTTTTAAAAGGTGCATTGTCGACAGCGTTCTACTGATTTTGAATCCTGGCCTTTGTCGGCACAGTAATGTTTGCACACTAATTGTGCACAATGTGCAGTGTCTCAACAACGCTTGTAATGATACATTTTTTAAATACAAAACAAACTTTCCGTTGTGCAAAATGTGTTGTACATTAGTTGTAGAACTTGTGTGTACGGGGCCTGTGTAATATGTACATTACAGATTGAGAGCACTGATGTTTTTTGTTGACCTGTGGAATCGCAGCACTTGTCCCAATGCTATATGACCTGTGACTGGGATGTGTTGGTTAAGTTAGCCATTTCGGTTTGGTCTATTGGTACGTTCAAGACAACTCAGAAACTCATATTTTATGACTTGGAAACTCATAGGATGAGGCCCGAGTCAACAATAGGAAGCTCTTTACAAATAACTTATGTTCATTTTAACTTGAGGTTCCGAGTTTCCGACTTGTCATGAATACACCATATGGCCCTGTCCAGAAACAACCCCTAGGACCCTACCCACTTCTGAGAGGATTCAATATGTTAAAGCTACAGTATATGGTGACAGCTCCACCTTTCCCTCTGATAGAATAGGTGGAATTGTTGCTATATTGCTTACACCTGTCCAATCATTTCAGATCTCCACAGGTGTCTACATGTAGGTAATAGGGGCAAGGAATTCTGGACAGGGCCAATTATTGTACTGTTACCTTTTGAAATCCAGTTTTTACAACGCCTTAAGTAAATGCATAAGTAAATGTAAAAAAAGATAAACCTTTGAATATGTACTGAGCTTGAATTTTAATTTGTAATAAAATACTTAAACATGTGGGGCTGTTGTCGTCAGTGCCTCCAAATTTATCCAACCCTTTTCTGTAGTTGATATGAGGACCATCTTTGTCCTTCTGCAGTCCAAAAACAACTGGACATTCTCTGCTATTTTAAAAGGCTGTTCAAACAAACTTAACCATGTGTAAATAGACCTTAACATTCTGTACCAACTCTTTCCTCTGCAAGAGCATGTCATTGGCTCATTTTGGGACAGACTTGATATTTGGCCAAACATTTTTCTAAATCCCTGGTCCTGAACTTGTCAACATTCAGGAAGTAGTCTGGATGAATTGATAAATTGGATAAAAGATCAGTGGGCAGAGCATAGTGGGTGGAGTTTACAGGTGAGTAAAAAAAATTGCTGTGGGGGAATTAAAGTTTGGTATTTCGAATCCCAGTTGAGACTTCAGTTTTCAAACCTTACCCAACAATCACATTTATAATCTACATTCTAAATGACTAACCTAAATATGTGCAAAAACAATGTTGGCGTATCCCACGTCTAGCGCAGTAGATTAGGTACTGGGTTTGAGACCAGAAAATCACAGGTTATGCTGATGCCCTTTCTCAAAAAAAGGTTATTTATAAATTATGTTGAATGACATGTTATATCCTAGCATGTCTAGCACTTTTTATTATATTTTACATCAATGGCATAGCGCACATACCCTGAGTGGTTCAGACACACTTTCCCTTTATGTCCTGGGTCACATTCAGCATGAACAGAAGGGAGAAAACAGTTTGAAACATGTGTTTTTCCTTCAAAAGTGCCTAGACTGCCTGGAGAACACAACCCTGGGTTGCTTTGGAGACCAGAGACAAGCATATCCTAGCAGAGCCAGCCAATCTAGACCAGTTGGTACACAGCATGCATCTGACACAGGAAATATTAACTTGAAGCAGTCAATAGTGATAAAGCAATGTGGGCGGAAGGCAAAAGGGCAGCAGTTAGCCTAGCGGTTGAGAGTGTTGGGCCAGTTACCGAAAGGTCGCTGGTTCGAATTCCCAAGCCGACTAGGTGAAAAATCAGTCGATGTGCCCTTGAGCAAGGCCCTTAACCCCAATTGCTCCTGTAAGTCGCTCTGGATAAGAGCATCTGCTAAATGGTAGTGTTAAGGCTTATCTGACACAGACAATATTATATCAAGCAATAAGAAACAGACAGCAAAAGCAATAAGAGCAAGTGTGCATTTTCCAGTAACAACTAGCTAATAGCATCAGCGGTGCGTTGGCCAATGACAAAGCAATGATTTGGCAGTCAAAGGGACGGATGCCTGTTCCAGTCAACAGTCACGTAGGCTGCTGCTGCTCTGAAGGCTGAGTCAGGTTGGTATCTCCATGGTAATGTGTAAACATGGTAACACCCATTTCAGACCCACTCCTTGGGGTTTCGTAACACCTCCAGCATATCGGCCTCCTGGGAACCTTTAGGAGGCTCATGCATGTACTCCCACCTGTGAAGAGAGAAGACAGTCAGCATGAATGAGAGGCCTGGGGCTTCTTCAGTGATTGCAGATAGAAATGTAATGTACACAGCTGACATTAGATGACTCCACAGGGGTCTGGTTGATGCGGTGGTGCAGCTCGGTCATGGTACGAACCGAGGGACATACAGTGTCTGTGTTCCAAATGGCCCCCATAGGGCTCTGCTCAACTGTAGAACACCATGTAGAGAATAGGGTGCCATTTAGGATGCTGACACAGAGCACTTTGTATAGTTGTCTCAATGGAAGCAGCCAGCTCTTTCATTTCCCGCCAGCAAATTTAGAAGACATTAGCATTTCTCTCTCTAAACACGTGGCTATGACTCGTGGATAACCACAGAGGTGACATGACTCCCTATGCGACAGTCATGTCTGTTCAACACTACACATTTCTACCTGAACATTTTAGAAGCCTTCTGAATAAGCCCTAGAGCATTCACTTCCAGGCACACACAGGCTGTACACAGTAGTACACACAGTCTTCACTGGTCCAAGGTTGCTTCCCAATAATCTCTCCCTTTTCCCCAAAATGTGCACTTGTTCACTTCCCTTTATGGATTGAAAAGTACAATTTATGGGAAGTAGTGTAAGAGTGCACACATCAGGAGGAAGGAGAGATTATTGGGACACAACCCAGTACTCATTCCCAATCACTAGTAATTTACATCCAGTGCTAGCAGCAGCAGTATGACATAATAGTACTCACTTGGCTGTTAGGGGCAGGGACATGAGGATGCTCTCGATCCTGGAGCCTGGGGTGGCCAGTCCAAACTTCACCCCTCTGTCATACACCAGGTTAAATTCCACATACCTGAAACACACACACCAAAGGCTTAATGAAACACAAGCACAAAGATATAGACACATATACAAACTGTGTTATTACACATGCACACAAGCATGTGGGTACACCTAGGGCTGTTACGGTGACCGTATTACTACCACGACGGCAGTCAAATTCCACGTGACCGTTTAGTCACGGTAATTAGGCTTCTCCAAGGTCTGATGCTGCTGATGGTCATTAGTAGCCTAACAAACTTGCATGAGAAAACAGAGGGATGGCCTCTATTAAAAAGAGGAGGATCCCATCAGCTTTCTATAGGCTAGGGCTACTATATTTATTTCTCAACTTTCCTAATATTAAGCACATTGCTTCTCTTTACAACAGGAGTATAGCCTACCTGGCTGGCATGAAAATGAACCACGGGAAAAGCGTCCTCCATTCGCTATTTAAGTGCATAGATGACATGTATTTTTTCCCCTACCCCTGTTTTGAGACAGGTGCATGATAATCGTCCATTCTAAATCAAAACAATTTTCACACATACAGTACCAGTCAAAAGTTTGGACACACCTACTCATTCCAGGGTTTTTCTTTATTTTATTCTACATTGTAGAATAATAGTGAAGACATCAAAACTATGAAATAACACAAATGGAATCATGTAGTAACCAATTTTTTTTTTTACAAATCAAAATATATTTTAGATTTGAGATTCTTCAAAGTAGACACCCTTTGCCTTGATGACAGCTTTGCACACTCTTGACATTCTCTCAACCAGCTTCATGAGGTAGTCACCTGGAATGCATTTCAATTAACAGGTGTGCCTTGTTAAAAGTTCATTTGTGGAATTTCTTTCCTTCTTAATGCGTTTGAGCCAATCAGTTGTGTTGTGACAAGGTAGGGGTGGTATACAGAAGATAGCCCTATTTGGTAAAATACCAAGTCCATATTATGGCAAGAACAGCTCAAATAAGCAAAGAGAAACGACAGTCCATCATTACTTTAAGACATGAAGGTCAGTCAATACGGAACATTTCAAGAACTTTGAACGTTTCTTCAAGTGCAGTCGTAAAAACTATCAAGCGCTATAATGAAACTGGCTCTCATGAGGACCGCCACAGGAATGGAAGACCCAGAGTTACCTCTGCTGCAGAGGATACGTTCATTAGAGTTAACTGCACCCCAGATTGCAGCCCAAATAAATGCTTCACAGAGTTCAAGTAACAGACACATCTCAACATCAATTGTTCAGAGGAGACTGCATGATTCATGCCTTCATGGTCGAACTGCTGCAAAGAAACCACTACTAAAGGACACCAATAAGAAGAAGAGACTTGCTTGGACCAAGAAACACAAGCAATGGACATTAGACCGGTGGAAATCCTTTGGTCTGATGAGTCCAAATTTGAGATTTTTGGTTCCAACCGCCGTGTCTTTGTGAGACGCAGCGTAGGTGAACGGATGATGTCCGCATGTGTGGTTCCCACTGTGAAGCATGGAGGAGGAGGTATGATGGTGTGGAGGTGCTTTGCTGGTGACACTGTCAGTGATTTATTTAGAATTTGACGCACATTTAACCAGCATGGCTACCACAGCATTCTGCAGCGATACGCCATCCCATCTGGTTTGCGCTTAGTGGGACTATAATTTGTTTTTCAACAGGACAATGACCCAAAACACACCTCCAGGCTGTGTAAGGTCTATTTTACCAAGAAGGAGAGTGATGGAGTGCTGCATCAGATGACCTGGCCTCCACAATCCCCCGACCTCAACCCAATTGAGATGGTTTAGGAGGAGTTGGACCGCAGAGTGAAGGAAAAGCAGCCAACCTGCAAAACACCAGTCTCAACGTCAACAGTGAAGAGGCGACTCCGGGATGCTGACCTTCTAGGCAGAGTTACAAAGAAAAAGCCATATCTCAGACTGGCCAATAAAAAGAAAATATTAAGATGGGCAGTCTGAGATATGGCTTTTTCTTTGCAACTCTGCCTAGAAGGTCAGCATCCCAGAGTCGCCTCTTCACTCTTGACGTTGAGACTGGTGTTTTGCGGGTACTATTTAATTAAGCTGCCATTTGAGGACCTGTGAGGCGCCTGTTTCTCAAACTAGACACTAATGTATTTGTCCTCTTGCTCAGTTGTGCACCGGGGCCTCCCACTCCTCTTTCTTTTCTGGTTAGAGACAGTTTGCGCTGTTCTGTGAAGGGAGTAGTACACAGCGTTGTACGAAATCTTCAGTTTCTTGGCAATTTCTTGCATGGAATAGCCTTCATTTCTCAGAACAAGAATAGACTGACGAGTTTTAGAAGAAAGTTATTTGTTTCTGGCCATTTTGAGCCTGTAATGGAACCCACAATTGCTGATGCTCCAGATACTCAACTAGTCTCAAGAAGGCCAGTTTTATTGCTTCTTTAATCAGCACAACAGTTTTCAGCTGTGCTAACATAATTGCAAAAGGGTTTTCTAATGATCAATTAGCCTTTTAAAATGATAAACTTGGATTAGCAAACACAACGTGCCATTGGAACACAGGACTGATGGTTGCTGATAATGGACCTCTGTACGCCTATGTAGATATTCCATTTAAAAAATCAGCCGTTTCCAGCTACAATAGCCATTTACAACATTAACAATGTCTACACTATATTTCTGATCATTTTTATGTTATTTTAATGGACAGAAAAATTCATTTTCTTTCAAAAACAAGGACATTTCTAAGTGACCCCAAACTTTTGAACGATAGTGTATGTAAAGACAAGATTAAATCAACAACAGTCTGATGGGTGAAAATATTAGCCTATCACTTGTGAATCATGCCCAGCTTGTGTGCAGTAAGGCAAGAAAGAGTGCATGCCTTTGTTGCAACTTTTTCAAATCAGTCGCACACCTCATGTAGCCTAGCTCATAGGCCTATATGTTTTGATAAGGTTTGTATCACAACTAAAGTGGCCAAATAACTTCTTACAATTAAGCACATTAATCCGCTTTACAACAGGTGTAGAGCCTAACTGGCATACATGCACAGCGTGTGAGTTTCACGTTTGGGGAAGATACATTATTTTTTTTCTTAACTTTTTCACAAAAGGCATGGATTTCTTTAAGGGCCATTACGGCCACACAAAGGGGATGCCGCCGAGAAATTTGAGGCATTATCAAGTGCTTGTCAAATTGTGAATGAGAGACTGATGAAATGTGTGCAGCCTGCGCAAATAACAAAGCAGAGCTCATGCCTTTCATGCAACTTTTTTCAAATCATCATTAGTCACATCATGCAGCCTTAGAATGTATAAAAAAATACAAACGTTGGGCTATATATTTTGATCACAACTAAGGTTGCATAAATAACTCTTAGTTAAGCATATAAGAAGACCTGTTTCTTTGTTAACCGCTCAACACAGAATAGTGGCATGTGCGCACTCCCTCAGAAATATTTTGGAGAAAACATCGTTTGTATTTTATTCAGCTGTGTTCAATTGTATTCTTCATACTATAAAATAATGCCATGAAATTCTAAGCAAATCTTGTCTGCTAAATGAACTAGTATAGCCCACAGGCATATGGCATAGCCAGGTCAGAGCCTAACATAATGACAAGGAGTATGCTATTCTGTTCTTCTGAAATAGACCACATTTTCTTCATATCATGTTTATTAGACCTGTCTAAAATACATACTTTATTGTGATGGTGTAGGCTATGGATTTATTAGACTTTTTAAAATGTAGATGTTCCAAAGGTCTGCATCAGTGGCTTGTAGGCTATGCGTGGAAGCCAGGAGATGCTAAATGTGTTTTTGTTAATTAACGGTCAATTACCATGAGACTGGCAGTTATGTGCTTGACAATCAATGGCTGACAAAATGTCATGACCGCCACAGCCCTAGGTACACCCACACCCTCTCATATGTACCCACCTGCCTCTCCGCACCTGCTGCCAGTCCTTCTCCTCTGGGCTGAAGGGGTCATTGAGGTGTTTGTAGACAATGGGCAGGTAACAGGGCACCACGGTCTGGGCACAGCTCCTAACAAAGCTGAACGCCTCCTCCTGGCTGGGAGAGTCCAGGTCGTCAAAGAAGATGCCACCGATGCCCCGCGTCTCGCCACGATGGCGGATGTAAAAGTAGTGGTCACACCTACAGGCAGCAGGAGTGTTTTGAATTAACTAAGCTTGAGGAAAGACATGTGCAGGTTATGGAAACACTTTAATTATACCCGCCCGCAGGTACTGTATATTGCTTTATATAACTTGTTATACGCATGCATTTATACCAGCAGCCTTTAATTAAAGTGTTACCAATGTTAATTTCCATAATTGTATCATAACTAGTACATTGCAGTACTTTTACAGGTATTTGAAACATGGTAGAAATGTTGAGCTACTGGTTTCAATGACTCTAGACACAGAGGTAGTTATTAGATAATGTGATTCCGCTCAATTAAAATATAACCCAATGTTCTTTAAAAATACAACTACTGTATGTTTGAGTTGAGAGAAGATCAAGATAACAATGTCAATCTGGGGGAAAGACCACTGTATGAATGTGTAAAATGCAAACAGCTTATAGGAATCTAGCCTTTAAAAGTAACACAGACACACACATCCATATACAGTACCATACTCACTTACCCTCCCATTCATTGACACAATGTCATTCACTAGCTCTGAACAAAACGGTCATTCAGCAGCTGAAGAAAATTATGAGAAACTCCTTATCCCTGTTGAACAGTAGAGACCCACCCAGTGAAGTCACCCACCCCACCCACCCAGTCATTACCACACATTGTATGAAGTCACTGATGTGGGTGGTTCGTACCACTTTTTGAAGTCGGGGTAGTACTGGGGGTGATGTTTGTCACAGGCCTCCTTCAGACTGTTGTGAAAGTGAGCACCATCCTCCTTATTGACATAGGTAGGAGTCAGGTCTGTACCGCCACCAAACCACCACTGTTTAGTGCCTGGGAGACACACACACACACGAGAAGACAAGAGCCATCATTCATTATCTCAGCTCTAACACTTGAATGGTATGATGTCACAGGCTGACACGCACCATCTTCTTCTTCTATCTCAAAGTATCTGTAGTTGAAGTGCACTGTGGGAATGTGGGGGTTCTTGGGGTGGATGACTGAGCTCACGCCCATGGCACAGAATGGCAGGATGCCTAGGAGTGAACATAACAATACAATATTATACAATACAATGCAATACCATAATATACATCTCAACCATAGTCTGACTCAAGGATCCAATCCCGATTCCTTGAACACATTAGCTTGTCAGAATGGCATGAATGGCCATTTCTGGTCTTGAGTGACACATGTAGCATGAGGTAACACACTGTACTGCAAGACAACATAATATTGCTGAAGTTAATGAGGTTGATATGAACCTAGGGCTGCCACTCACCATCTTTCCCTTTGAGGACCTTCCCTCTGCTGCGCATCTGCTTAGCGGCCTCCTCGGTCAGGTTCCCAAACACCACGGACACGTTGACCCCCGCCTTCTCAAACACCTTCCCATCCTGCAGCACACAGCTAATGCCCCCGCCACCTGATGATACACACACAGACAAACATACAAGATGTTAGACAGTAAAGAAAGAGCCAAACACCAAAGCACTGTAATAATGCTATACAAACAGACAGTGAGACAATGGCATGGGTGCAGAATGTGGCAAGGTGCTACTACTGTAGCTGTTGGGCTCAGCTTAAAAATAAGGGCAGGTGGGATAACCTTTGGATTAGCCTGAATAGATTCCGACCTTAGTTTATAGATGCACTGGGGTCGGACAGGCTTCTTGTTTAGATTAAGACACCGCAGAGCCGGCACAAGATATGGCTCGGAAAACCTACCTCAATCCAGGGATGAGAAATACGTTGCACTCAGAATTGTCCCATTATCCCAACTGTTACGCCAAGAACATTGAACGACTGCTAAAAATCTAGCAGTCGTTCAATCTTCTCGGTGTAAGAGTTGGGATAATGGGACAATTCTATGTACAATGAATTTCTCATCCCTGGATTGAGGTACGTTTTCCGAGCCATATCTCACGCTGGTGCCTTAATCTAAACAGGAAGCCTGTACAACCCCAGTGCAGCTGTAAGCAAGCGTAGGGTCGGAATCTAGTCTAGCTACCTTCGAATATGTAGGTAGCCTAGCTGTTAGAGCATTGGGCCAGCAACCGGAAGGTCGCTGGTTCGAATATCCGAGCTGACAAGGTGAAAAATCTGTCGATTTGCCCTTGAGCAAGGCACTTAACCCTAATTTGTGCCATACTACTATGGCTGACCATGTAAAACAACAGATTTCCCTGCACATATCTGGTGTATGTCACAATTATAAACATTTTTTTTAACCTATTGCACAAATTAGTCATTGGACACTTCATGTGCCACTGTGAATGTGTCAGCGTTGATAGCTGCCAGATACACTATATATACAAAAGTATGTGGACACCCCTTCAAACGAGTGGATTCGGCTATTTCAACCACACCCGTTGCTGACAGGTGCATAAAATCGAGCACACAGCCATGCAATCTCCATAGACAAACATTGACAGTAGAATGGCCTTACTGAAGAGCTCAGTGACGTTCAACGTGGCATTGTCATAGGATGACACTTTTCCAACAAGTCAGCTTGTCAAATTTCTGCCCTGCTAGAGCAGCCACAGTCAACTGTAAGAGTTGTTATTGTGAAGTGGAAACGTCTAGGCGCAACAACGGTTCAGCCGCGAAGTGGTAGGCCACACAAGCTCACAGAACGGGACCGCCGAGTGCTGAAGCGCATAAAAACGTCTGTCCTTGGTTGTAACACTCACTACCGATTTCCAAACTGCCTCTGGAAGCAACGTCAGCACAATAACTGTTAGTCGGGAGCTTCATGAAATGGGTTTCCATGGCCGAGCAGCCGCACACAAGCCTAAGATCACCATGTGCAATGCCAAGCGTCAGCTGGAGTGGTGTAAAGCTCGGCGCCATTGGACTCTGGAGCAGTGAATCACGCTTCACCATCTGGCAATCTGACGGATGAATCTGGGTTTGGCAGACGCCAGAACGCTACCTGCCAACTGTAAAGTTTGGTGGAGGAGGAATAATGGTCTGGGGCTGTTTATCATGGTTCTGGCTTTTTGGAATGAGATGTTAGACGAGCAGGTGTCCACATACTTTTGATCATATAGTGTAGATCTACGTTGGCATATAGGTAAGATGCTCTGGCCTTAGGTTGGGGTTCCTAACTGACTATCCACGCGCTTTGGCACGGGCTGTGTGTGCCAAATGGCACGTGCCAAAGGGAGATCCTTGCCTTCTTTCCGTTCCCACTTGTCCACTTTGAAGTTGCCGCCGTCCACCTCCTCGAGCGCTCTGCAGAACTCCGCCTGAGTGTCCATTATCAGCATCTCCATCCTCGTGCACATTTCCTCTTTCCTCTGCTGCAGCACTTTGACGTCGGTACACGGCGGGGCCATGAACGTCTTGCATTTCTCCGCTATCTCCTTCTCCTCGGTTTTGGGGATCATGGTTGCCATTTCAGCCCGCTGAAAGTGACTACCGCTAGCCACAAAACCCGCCACTGCCGCCGCTGTTCCAGCAACCAGCAGTGCGCCTCTCCTGGTTCGCCCGGTTGCCGATTTGCCTGCAGTCCCGTGTGACATGAACCGCACTCCAGTAGCTTTGGGAACACATCTCGCTCCCGGAAGCGAAGTTAACCTGCGGAAGAAAGATAGGTGCGAGTCCACTATGGAAGCTCGCTTTGAAAACTGAATTATACATTGTCTCGCAGTGGTTTGCGCCGTTCTGTTCATGGAATAAAGAACGATGGTCGCCATGATTTGTAAATTATCTAGCTGTCCTCTCCATGTAAAATGTACAGGTTGTAGACATCCAGCTAGCAAAACTGAAAACAACAATCACAAGTAGACAGCAGTGCAGTCACGCTAAGGTCCGGGGGAGGGGGGGTCTTTGCCTTGAACCGAGCGAAGAGGCATGGGAAATGGTGTTCTCGAGTCTGCAGGTTTGTTTGATTGATAGTAAATTACAGAAAACAGCAAGACCCACAAGCCAGTGCTTATCTGTAGGCGTGTCCTTATTATCCAGAACGTGATAAGAGACCAGTTTCATCTCTGCTTATCCGCTGTCTTTGCCAAGGTAGTCCTTGATAATAATAATAATTGGCGCATAATGACTATGGATTTATTTTCTTATTCACATATTATTAAAGCATGAACAAAAATATGCCACATAGGTCTTCATTTATTTATGTCACTATTTTAAACAACACAAGGACAAGTCGTGCATTTAATTCCTCATAATAACATTTTCATAATAACATTTTAGAGCACATATTTAGAATGTAGCCTACACTAGTCTATAAAATCCTTCCCATTACTCATGACTGAAAGTTTGATAGATGATAGATGTGTCTGTGTACATTGAGTGTGTGTGTGCGAGAGAGAACCTGTTTTCTGTTTCGCGCATGTGCGTGTTGTAAATCTCTATGACAACAGGACTATTAAACCCTTTAGTGGAGCCTGGGAGAAGGACACGCACAGGAGATTATCTGGACAGGTGCTCCGGCCGGTTGTATCACGAAAATGTAGGCCAGTAAAACGAATAACGAGTTCCCATATAAGAGGATAAAATACATATATGTTTTTATTTTTATTTGTTAAATTCTGAGTAAAAAGGAGACGCAAAAGCTTATGGTAGTGGTGAGTTTATTTCGATGTTTGGGTAACGGTACGGTTGTGCACAATCTATTGTGTATTTATATAGCTCTGTGCTTCTAATTATTTCAGACTTGTGCCTTATAATAACGCGTGTAGCTTATTGTGTTTGTAGCAAGAGTTGCCTATTCTAATGTTACATCATCGCGTTAGGCTTCTAGAGTAGCTATGTTTACTCTTGTATTGGAGCCTAGAAACCAGGCTATGTCTGTGTCTGTCACATCATGCTGTCCTGTTTTATCAGTAAGATTCTACAAGTAGCAATAAATTTGCCAGTAACTCCAATCACAGTTAAGACAAGATAGCCTATTTCACAATACGATCCCATATTAAAAGTAATGCACACAACTGCACCTGTCACAGGTTGAACTGTTTAACCTGCGCTATGGGTCATTTGGCCATGGGAGGGCCACGGAGGCGTGAATACAGGTCTACTATAATATAGTGTGACTGATGATCTGTGAGTGTTCAGAATTTGTATGCTTGTGATGTGTGCTTACAGAGTTGGGAATTCTATTCTATTTTAGTTTTATGAGGGATTGTCAATGCACAAACTGCCCTGAACTGGTGTGAATTGAAATACAATGGACTTATGGATACCCTTGGAAGTATAATGTTGGGGCTATCATCACAAATGGGCCTGCATATACAATGCTCCGGTTGATCATGTATTGTTCTTCATGCTATTCCTTTGGAGAAGATGAGTCAGGTGCGGACGAGCACTAGGACCCAGGAGGAGTATGAGGACGACTTTGAGAAGGACCTGGATTGGCTGATCAGTGAGGAGGGGACGAACGATGGCCAGGTAGGTCAGTGGGGATTGGCTGATCAGTGAGGACGGGAGGAGTGATGGCCAGGTAGGTCAGAGGGATTGGCTGATCAGCGAGGAGGGGAGGAGCGACAGCTAGGTAGGTCAGTGGGGATTGGCTGATCAGTGAGGACCCAGGGCTGCGTTCAGTACGTTTTACGTTCAGTTGAAAAACGGGGAGGGGTTGGGTTGTGGGTTGGGGAACGCTGCCAGTATAGCCACTGCCTTTTAAATACTGTATGTCAGTCATTACTTCAAGCCACACCTTGCCACACCCACCAAACGGTAGCGAATGTACCTCAAAGTTTGTTCAAGAATGTACAACAATGTTTTGGGGAATCGTCTCGTTCAGTACAAACCGTTCCGCAACGTAGCAAACGTTCAAGTGAACTGAATGCACCTCAGGAGTGACGGCCAAGTAGGTCAGTGAGCTGCTGGGTTGCCAGACTCGCCCACTTTCTGTGAAAACGTCACAGGGATCTTTTGAATAGTAAGGCAAAAGCAACCGACTGTAGATGAAAGTCAAGGAGTGAAGTCGGGGGAAGTGCATCTGCGACAGCCGAAAGTCAGACATTGATGTGGTTTTCCAACAGCAAGGCTCAGTGCAACATGGCAGTGTTGCCATTGTTTATAAAAGTTTTTCTTTGTAATGTCGAAATAAGAATGTCTCCAACCCCCATATCACACACTCACAAACTGTAGATATAGTTGTGTACATTGTACTATCAATTGGTGAAAGAGAGCCTCAAATATCACATTCAATTATACACTGCTCAAAAAAATAAAGGGAACACTTAAACAACACATCCTAGATCTGAATGAATGAAATAATCTTATTAAATACTTTTTTCTTTACATAGTTGAATGTGCTGTCAACAAAATCACACAAAAATGATCAATGGAAATCAAATTTATCAACCCAAGGAGGTCTGGATTTGGAGTCACCCTCAAAATTAAAGTGGAAAACCACACTACAGGCTGATCCAACTTTGATGTAATGTCCTTAAAACAAGTCAAAATGAGGCTCAGTAGTGAGTGTGGCCTCCACGTGCCTGTATGACCTCCCTACAACGCCTGGGCATGCTCCTGATGAGGTGGCGGATGGTCTCCTGAGGGATCTCCTCCCAGACCTGGACTAAAGCATCCGCCAACTCCTGGACAGTCTGTGGTGCAACGTGGCGTTGGTGGATGAGCGAGACATGATGTCCCAGATGTGCTCAATTGGATTCAGGTCTGGGGAACGGGCGGGCCAGTCCATAGCATCAATGCCTTCCTCTTGCAGGAACTGCTGACACACTCCAGCCACATGAGGTCTAGCATTGTCTTGCATTAGGAGGAACCCAGGGCCAACTGCACCAGCATATGGTCTCACAAGGGGTCTGAGGATCTCATCTTGGTACCTAATGGCAGTCAGGCTACCTCTGGCGAGCACATGGAGGGCTGTGTGGCCCCCCAAAGAAATGCCACCCCACACCATGACTGACCCACCGCCAAACTGGTCATGCTGGAGGATGTTGCAGGCAGCAGAACGTTCTCCACGGCGTCTCCAGACTCTGTCACGTCTGTCACGTGCTCAGTGTGAACCTGCTTTCATCTGTGAAGAGCACAATGGGCCAGTGGCGAATTTGCCATTTTTGTGTTCTCTGGCAAATGCCAAACGTCCTGCACGGTGTTGGGCTGTAAGCACAACCCCCACCTGTGGACATCGGGCCCTCATACCACCCTCATGGAGTCTGTTTCTGACTGTTTGAGCAGACACATGCACATTTGTGGCCTGCTGGAGGTCATTTTGCAGGACTCTGGCAGTGCTCCTCCTGCTCCTCCTTGCACAAAGGCGGAGGTAGCGGTCCTGCTGCTGGGTTGTTGCCCTCCTACGGCCTCCTCCACATCTCCTGATGTACTGGCCTGTCTCCTGGTAGCGCCTCCATGCTCTGGACACTACGCTGACAGACACAGCAAACCTTCTTGCCACAGCTCGCATTGATGTGCCATCCTGGATGAGCTGCACTACCTGAGCCACTTGTGTGGGTTGTAGACTCCGTCTCATGCTACCACTAGAGTGAAAGCACCGCCAGCATTCAAAAGTGACCAAAACATCAGCCAGGAAGCATAGGAACTGAAAAGTGGTCTGTGGTCACCACCTGCAGAACCACTTCTTTATTGGGGGTGTCTTGCTAATTGCCTATAATTTCCACCTGTTGTCTATTCCATTTGCACAACAGCATGTGAAATTTATTGTCAATCAGTGTTGCTTCCTAAGTGGACAGTTTGATTTCACAGAAGTGTGATTGACTTGGAGTTACATTGTGTTGTTTAAGTGTTCCCTTTATTTTTTTGAGCAGTGTACATGAATCGCAGCAAAGTTGGTTCCTGTTTTAGTCAGGTCATGTTCACGTGAGTCAAATAAAAACACCCTAATGATTGGTTGACAATAGAGCCTCCCACAATGCAGGTAATGGCTGCAGGATGAAGTTGGTGAAGAGCAACTGCAGAAATTTGCAGTCAACTCCAGTCAAAATGTCATGATCTTTGATCACATGGTTTTTGTAAAGTTCATGCAGTTGTCATGTAAGCGCAAATCGGACAATTTCTTCCCTATAATACAACACATTTTGGAAGGCAGTGACCAACGATGGTCACCGACTTGACAAAAGTGATCTGCTCAAATGCGCCCACAGTTTGTGGTGTTGTGTTACCGTGTGCCTGCATCTCAGTGTCTGTGTGTGAAATCCAACCCACTGACACACATCCAGACACTTTCACTGTACCACAGTTATAGGGCTCTGGACTGGATACATTGATAACCACACACACACACACACACATACACACAGTCGTCATGTCTTTCACAAAGTATCAAAGTACCTAATTAACATATCGTTTGCTGACACACTGTCTGTTGAGAGACTCAGGTGAATAGAACTCAGTCACTCCTCCTCAACAGGAACCTGACTACGAGGACATCGAGGCCGAAATAGACAAGGAGCTGAAGGAGGAAGAGAAGAAGGAAGAGAAGAAGCGAGGGAGGAAGGAGGACAAGAAAAGCCTGAAAGAGGAGAAGAGGGTGAGCGAGTCAGAGAAGGCGGAGGAGGAGGAGAGGTGGCCCTCGCCTATGGAACCTTTGGAGTTCGACTCCGACCGAGACAGTCCATATAAGGGCGGATCCCCCATAGCTCCGCCCCCTCCGGTGTTGGAAGACCAACCGGAAGAGGACAAGAAGTACATCCTGGAGAAGATCCAGCTAGCCAATCGGCAGCTGCAGGACCAGGAAGCGCCGGACATGACTCGGCGCCGACGCCTTCACTTCAAAGAAACGCTGGTGGATCTGGTGGTGCCGCCGCTGGAGTACGAGAAAGACAGCAGCACCCCCCAAAGGACGGGGGTGGTAGAGCAGGTGAGCAGCACGGCCAGCGGCAAGGACATGGAGGTAGAGAGTGAGATGTCGGGGAAGCTCTCTGAGCTGAAGATCACCCCACGGGAAGGTGAAGGAGGAGGGCAGGGGAGCAAGGCTGGGGGTGGTGGTGGAGGTGGGGAGGCTGGCCAGAGTGGACCGGGGAAAGAGGGCAAAGTCCTGGTAGAGAAAGATGGCAAGTTTGACCTTGTCAGCCTGAAGGAGGTGGAGAGCCATGGCCTGATGCTGCCACCTTTAGCGAGCTTCCCCAGCGACAACTCACGCTCGTCCTCCCGTCCAAGTGACCTGAGCCCGAACAAGACCCCCACATCCTCCCCACTGCGTCCCATCTCTAGCACCATGTCCCTGGGGATCGAGCACCTCCGCTCCCCCAGACCTCCGGCCCAGCCCAGGAATCGGCCCAACTCGGCCAGTCACAGCCAGAGGGGCAGCGGGTGGAGGGGCACCAAGCGCAGGGTGCAGTCGGCCAACAGTACCCCGTCCCAGCAAGCCACCTTCACTCTCTCGCCCCAACAGAAGGAGCTACTGAACAAAATACAAGAGAGGAGAGAGAGGCTCGCCAGAGAGGTGGGGAACACAGGAAGTCCCAATGCTTATCATGAAAGATAAACCCCCTTTTCTGTTTTCCTGTGTAACTCTTTCTACCTCTCCCCCTCCTGCTTTTATATGATCCTCCTTGCTCCCCCTCTCTCTTGCTCCCCCTCTCTCTCTTTCTCTCCCCCCTCTCCTCTCTCTCTCGTTCTCCCCCTGCCCCTTCTCTCAGGAGGAGCAGAGGAAGAGGGAGGAGGATGAGCAGAAGCGTCAGGAGAACGAGCTGGCGTTCCGGGCATGGCTGGTGAGGAAGAGGGAGCAGCTGCAGGAGGAGAGGAGGATCCACAGAGCCCAGGAGATGGAGAGAATGAATGGCATGGTATGCACAGGCCACTAGAGGGCGACACTAGCACACAAGCACAGCCTGTAGCAGGACTGTAATTGTCCTGTAGTAATACTTTGTAGAAATCAGTGCTTTCAGCTAAATGTACCTGCTATTTACTTAAATAATTAAATAAATAAAGGGAAGAAATGTATATTTTCTGATGCGTATTATAAAGAAATGAAAAAGTTGTTATTGGGTAACTGTATGCTAAACTGCTACAATCTTTAGTGCAATCATTACATTTTACATTTACGTCATTTAGCAGACGCTCTTATCCAGAGCGACTTACAAATTGGTGCATTCACCTTATAGCCAGTGGGATAACCACTTTTTTATTTTTTATTTTTTTTGGGGTGGGGTAAGGGGGGGTAGAAGGATTACTTTATCCTATCCCAGGTATTCCTTAAAGAGGTGGGGTTTCAAGTGTCTCCGGAAGGTGGTGAGTGACTCCGCTGTCCTAGCATCGTGAGGGAGCTTGTTCCACCATTGGGGTGCCAGAGCAGCGAACAGTTTTGACTGGGCTGAGCGGGAACTGTGCTTCCGCAGAGGTAGGGGGGCCAGCAGGCCAGATGTGGATGAACGCAATGCCCTCGTTTGGGTGTAGGGACTGATCAGAGCCTGAAGTTACGGAGGTACCATTCATAGAAGAAGATACTGCACCAGCAAGCTTGTGACAAGCCAATCCAAGAAAGTAGGATAGTGAGTGAAAACAGTTTTGACTTCATTTGTCCCTGTGTCCTGCCTCCCTCAGAGGGAGCACAGTGACCCAGACGAGGCCTTTAAGTCGTGGCTGCAGAGGAAACACGAACAGCAGCAGAGAGACAGGCAGCTGGAGGAGATGAAGAGGCTGGAGGAGGAGAGTGGGTTCTACCTGCACAACCGAGAGGAGTGTGAACGAGCCTTCAAACTGTGAGTCCCTACTCAGCTGTGTGAACGTCTGTCTACTGTAGAAGGGCATTGGAGATAGTCTGGACCATGGCTTTCCAACCCTGTTCCTGGAGAGCTACCATCCTGTAGGTTTTCGCTCCAACCCTAATCTAGCTCTCCTGATTCTAATAATTAGCTGGTTGATAAGATGAATCAGGTTAGTTACAACTGGGGTTTGCGCTAAAACCTATAGGAGGTTAGCTCTTCAGGAACCGGGTTGGAGAGCCCTGGTCTGGACACTCAAGTTCTTTTAAATAATTTGTCCGGGTGAAGAAAATGAGTAATTGGGAGAAAGCTATATACAGATTGGAAAAACAATCAGGTCACACTACCCATGATATTATTGGGTCCCCTCTCTCTCTTACTCTTCTCTCTCTCTCTCTCTCCTCAGGTGGCTGAAGAGGAAGCGGGCAGAGAAGCGGGCGGAGCAGCAGGCGGCCAGAGAGCGCTCCCGCAGGCTTGTGTTTGAGGAGCGGCGTGCCCGGCGCATGCAGGACCTCCTGTGCACCGTCAACGAGACCAAGCCTTTCCGCTTCACCGAACACCTGGCATACCGCTTCTAAACGGCTTCTGAACCCACCATTCGCAACATCATACCTCGAGAGGAAAGAGTTGAGATCTGAGTAAAGCTTCAGGGCCTACATTATACGATTCAGGGCCTACATCGTTGTCCATTTTTGCCCGACAAAATTACAACTTATGTAGACTTTTTCGAATGAGTTACATAAGGAAAAAAATGGACAATTTGTGAACTTTTTTGGGGGACAATCAGCTCCGTTGTCATTCATACTGCATTGGATGACTCCCATTGAAAAAGCGTCGGCTCCATCCGAAAAAAGCTACATCTCACTGTGGGCGAGGCCTAAGGGAGAAGGGAATCACCAAATAAGTCTAGGCTCTGTTCCAGTATCCATTCTAGCATACCACTTAGAATGAGGCATTTTTACTGAAAGTGAATCTTAACATGGGATCAGCACTGAGACTACTGTTGAGAGAAGGGCTTTATTTTCTACATTTTCATTTGTCACAGATTATCCGTTTGTGACCTCCAAAGTTCTGTTTTCTTTGACATTACTTAGTCAAACATGCACAACTCCTAAGGGTTCCGAATTGATCAGACATCAGTGATCTATCCTGTGCTCACTGTGTACAGTATATAAAGAGATTATTTTATCAAATTAATGATTATAACTGGTTCAATAGCTGTGTGACAACAAATATTTATACAGAATAAATATGTGATTATAGGCCTACTGGCGCTTGTTCTCTACATTGTCAACAGCCTTCTCTCTGTTGCTGATGCACTTTAACCTAGCCTACTAGATAACATGGAGCTCACCAATGCCGGCAGTGCTAGTAGGCAGTGTTACCATAATGCCTTCATAAATTGTTTGTCACTGAGTGTTTTTAAGTTTATTCTTAAATTCTTAAATGTATTCTTTATTCTATCTTAAGTTTATTAAGTCTTAAGCTTAGGTCCTTTGTAGTAGTGGCATCAACACTGACTACATTTTCGTCCGTCAGATGACGTCATTCTAAGGAGACATGCAGTTGCCAGTCCAGACGGCCATAGCCACGGGAAGATGTTTGAGGGTGGGGTTGCTGCGCAGATTTTTGTGTGTGCCTGCGCTACAGACGGCTATATCGGTCCGCTAATACAGGACTAGTAAAAGGCCCAGTGCACTACTATTGTGATATTTTTTTCTTCTTCTAAACAAATGTATGAATATATACACTACCTGTCAAAAGTTTGGACACACCTACTCATTCAAGGATTTTTCTTTATTTTTTAAAATGTTTTACATTGTAGAATAATAGGGAAGACATCAAAACTATGAAGCAACACATATGGAATCATGTAGTAACCAAAAAAGTGTTAAACAAATCAAATATATTTTATTTTTGAGATTCTTCAAATAGCCACCCTTTGCCTTGATGACTGCTTTAAGTGCAGTCGCAAAAACCATCAAGCGCTATGATGAAATTGGCTCCCATGAGGACCGCCACAGGAATGGAATACCCAGAGTTACCTCTGCTGCAGAGGATAAGTTCATTAGAGTTACCAGCCTCAGAAATTGCAGCCCAAATAAATGCTTCACAGAGTTCAAGTAACAGATACATCTCAACATCAACTTTTCAGAGGAGACTGTATGAATCAGGCCTTCATGGTCGAATTGCTGCAAAGAAACCACTACTAAAGGACACCAATAATAAGAAGAGACTTGCTTGGGCCAAGAAACACGAGCAATGGACATTAGACGGGTGGAAATTTGTCCTTTGGTCTGGAGTCCAAATTGGAGATTTTTGGTTCCAACCGCCGTGGCCTTATGAGATGCGGTGTGGGTGAACGGATGATCTCTGCATGTGTATTTCCCACCATAAATCATGGAGGAGGACGTGTTATGGTGTGGGGGTGCTTTGCTGGTGACACTGTCTGTGATTTATTTAGAATTCAAGGCACACTTAACCAGCATGGCTACCACAGCATTCTGCAGCGATACGCCATTCCATCTGGTTTGGGCTTAGTGGGACTATCATTTGTTTTTCAACAGGACAACGACCCAACACACCTCCAGGCTGTGTAAGGGCTATTTTACCAAGAAGGAGAGTGATGGAGTACAGCATCAGATGACCTGGCCTCCACAATCCCCTGACCTCAACCCAACTGAGATGGCTTGGGATGAGTCGGACCGTAGAGTGAAGGAAAAACAGCCAACAAGTGCTCAGCATATGTGGGAACTCCTTCAAGACTGTTGGAAAAGCATTCCAGGTGAAGTTGGTTGAGAGAATACCAAGAGTGTGCAAAGCTGTCATCAAGGCAAAGGGTGGCTATTTGAAGAATCTCAAAAATAAAATATATTTTGATTTGTTTAACACTTTTTTGGTTACTACATGATTCCATATGTGTTATTTCATAGTTTTGATGTCTTCACTATTATTCTACAAAGTAGAAAATAGTTAAAATAAAGAAAAACACTTGAATGAGTAGGTGTGTCCATACTTTTGACTGGTAGTGTATATAAAGTTTTTAGATTTTTCAGGGGGTGCTGCAGCATCCTCAGAACCCGTACTTCCCGCGGCTATCTGATGTGAGACAATGCACTGACTATAGATGTTAAGAAATTTTAAAAGAACGATGGTTTGATACTGTATACATAATTAGTAATTAGAAAAATCTGAATTGGAACAGTCAGTACTATAAATGATTAAATCATTTACCTCTGTGTTTATCTAGATATTTAAGATCTATTTACTTATAGTCATATTAATGTCTAGATTTTCAAATACAGTTTTGTAAAACCACTTCATTAAATGTTGTTTGTTACAACTGAACCCATAGACAATGTGTTGACAAATTGTAAACAATTTACACATTCCGAAATAACAAAGGACACAGTTTAAGTTATTTTATGAAATATTGTCTTTTTAATTTATAAGTACACATTACAACAAAAGAGATGGATACAACAATTTGTTTGTGCTACAGCAATTTATATTTAAATATTAGTGAGTGGCCATCCTCCCTATCAAAAGATAAGATAAAACCCTACTCTAACTTAAAATGGATAAGTTACGTATAGTTAGCAGTTGTATCATTGAAATATCATAGTACACAAGGCACTTTCTTTCCATTGGATTATAACAGTGCGTGTGCCTGTCTGTCTATTTTGTCCAATGAAATGAGGACATTTTGAAAGGAAAGGACACCTATACGCCACCTTAAAATAAGAATTCCTTTAAACAGGAATAAATGACATCTTTTATTAAAAAGCGTCTAATATCAAATGCCGACAATTGCAATAGCAGCTGTCTATCTTTAAAACAGACACATAAACACACACAAAAAAAACACACACACACCATGCCCTTGTGTAAGCTAACTTGTAAACAGTTATCTTGCTCTGCGTTTGATTACATTGAAGGGAGGGATTAGCTCTGGTCCAAAGCATTAGTAAGTCTTGCTAACGCCATGGACCTGAGCTAGGGAGGGACGTGAGTTATGAAGATGATGTCTCTTTATCACACTACAAACAAAAAGAAAGTGCACATAAAATATTGACAGATAAGTTCAATCATTATTGTCAGTCACTGAAAAGGATTATAGCTCCCTGTTTGTAAGAAATGCCTGACCTCTTTCTCTCGGTAAATGCATATATTCCAGCCAATGTTTCAATGAATAAATAGATAAAACATATTAACTGTGTTTACACCACCTGAAAGAAATAATCCCACTACTTTTGTTTTATGAGTGCATGTTTTAAACGTTATAAACAGCCCGTTTTTTCTATAACAGAGAACAACAATGTCAACTGCCGTTCTTCTCTTTCGCGTGTTCACAGTGCAGTAAGAACTGTACATATGTATGACAGGTCTGTATTGTAACAACCTCGTGTGCAACCTGCACACTACACAAAGTCATCACAAAGTGAACTGAACATTTTAAGTCATCACAAAGTGAACTGGACCTTTAAATCCATCACAAAGTGAACTGGGCCTTTAAAGGCATCACAAAGTGAACTGGACCTGGACCTTTAAAGGCATCACAAAGTGAACTGGACCTGGACCTTTAAAGTCATCACAAAGTGAACTGGGCCTTTAAAGCCATCACAAAGTGAACTGGACCTTTAAAGCCATCACAAAGTGAACTGGACCTTTAAAGCCATCACAAAGTGAACTGGACCTTTAACATGTGGGGCACAATGACTGGAGCTCAAGTACTGGTATGCACAAAAACATAAATCACACAAGATCAAAAGAACAACAGACTAAAGCCACGACGACAACACAAACAATAACTATATAACCTTGCACTTCAAACAGTACAAAAATAAAATTGTTCTGATCCAAACTTCATTAAATAAATAGATCGATATAAAGATTTGGGGGGTGCTTGGCTGGATGCTGGAGGACTACTACAGCTCGTCTTTGGGGTTGATGTTGAGGCTTGTGTCCCACTGTGATTGGCTGCTCTGGTTGTCCAACGCCTGCATCACCTCATCTGCCTGCAGGCGCTCCTAGAGGAGAAAGAGAGAGGGAGAAAAGAGAGGAGTTATGTATTATGATATAATCATCTTCCTAACTAAATAGCAATCAACCTCTTCCTAAATAAATACCAATATACATATTCCTAAATCAATAGCCATTTTAAACATCTTGTACATAACATGATGTACTATACTCTATACATGTGTCTCTATGAAAGACATAATCATAGAAGACATTATGATAGGGCCATGGCTGTAGTGTTTACCAGTTCTCTGAAGAGGGGGTCCAGGGTGAACCACAGGGCCACGGCACACCTCTGCCCCCTGGTGACGGCCCTCACTCCATGGGGATTCTCCCCACCAGACGAGAAGCCCACCATACGACCACAATTTGGCTTAACCTGTGCCTGGGGGAGGAGGAGGGGAAGGAGGAGACCAGGGTCAGTACTGACTGTCGTTGTGGAATGGGATCACATTGGATGTGGGAAATTCCAACTTTATGTAGACGAGGCTCCAAATGACAGAAAAGTGCAATGCAAAGGTACGAAGAAAGGGTAAGATAGTAAGACTAATAAAAATGTCAAAAAATACATGCAACAATAATGATATGAGACATATATAATTTGTTATTTTGATCACTTCACTCTTTAAAAAAAATATTTCCCTTCTCAGGTTAGGACTCACTGTGACTGTTTTGGCGTCCATTTCTGTGAAGATGAACTCCCCACCCTCAAAATCTCCATTCAGGTACAGCAGAGCACTTAGGACACATTGAAAACCATGACTATTTAACACTAGGTAATGGTATAATATGGTGCCATTGATAGCACAAATATGTTTCAATGTAGTTAGGAAGCAGCTTTGCCTTGGACCAGAGCTAAGATTATACCCTTAGCTGCTTCATAACTACACTGAAACCTATTCATCATGAAAAAATTAAGGACCAGAGCTAGGTATAAGCTCTAACCTGTAGTCTCTGTAGGTGTAGGCTGGTGGTTCTTTCCAGCACTCGTTGGCCTCTGGGTCTAACAGACAGTTGTCAGCGTGGATGGGATGGCTCAGGTCATTTCTATGGTCCTGTTGCCCTATACCAAACAGAGATAAAACTTTATTAAACCCAAACAGAGACAAACTTTATTAACCCCAAAACAGCCCAAAACAGAAACAAACTTTACTAAAGCAACACAGAGGCAAACTAAACCAGATTTGACTAAACCTACATGCTCAAACTCACAAAGTCACATAATGCTCAACGTTGTATGACACTATAAGGAAAGGTTGATAATAATATATAATGATACCATAACAGGGTTGGGGTCAATTCCATTCAAATTAAGTAAATTCAGGAAGTTTCTCATGTCTCCATTCAGGTACAGCATTGGAATTTCAGTATAATTAGTAGCATCGCTGGTGACTTGGCTCACCTGTGATGGCAGTCCGGCACACCAGGTGTGTGTAGGAGAAGTGGAGTGTTGAATTGAGCAGGAAGTAGGACTCGATGATGCGTCTGGCCCTCTCACTGACGTCATAGAAGAGACGAGCGCTCCTCAATGGGACACGGCCCTCGTAGCCATACTGCAGGTAACACACAGTAACATGGTTAAATATTCACCTAGCATGTTGCCAGGGACAGAACTTAAGGATTTTGGCACTGGCCAGCCAGGCTAGTAGACTGCAATTTCCAAGGGTCCAAAGTCTGTGCTGTTGGGCTAGTTTGGGAAATGTTCTACTAGCCCGGTCTGAAAAGTACTAGCCTCAGGCTAGCTTCATTTGCATTCCTGCTTGTAAGGAACCAAAAATATTCTGTATTTGCTTACTAATGTACTGAAAGAGTGACTTTTGATAACTTTGAGACAAGAGCGATACTTAATGTTACTTGAAAAGGGCAATACAAATCAAGTGGTTTCAAACAGAGGTTGATTTAATCTTCACCATTGTGTCTATGTATAGCTTGTTTACCTGCAGTGTTTTTAGCACAGTGGCTCCCTCAAACCTCTCATTGGGGGTGTGAGGAGACATCTTCCCTCGGTATCCGTCTCCTGCCATAGTGACAGTCTGTAGACCAAACAAGAGAATGAACCCCTGGCTCTCATATTCTAGAAATGCATTTATAAAGTAACAAACAATGACTATGTTCACAAAGTACACTAAGGGCCAGTTTGCTGGACACGGATTAAGCCTAATCCTGGACTAAAAAGCATACTCGATGGAGAATCTCCATTGAAATAGCTTTTCAGTCCAGGATTAGGCTTAATATGTGTCTGGGGAACCGCCTCATAGTGTTCACTGTAAACCTGTAACAACACACTAAATAGAGATAAATTGAAATGCACGTTTATACTTTGTACAATTCATGATAGTGAATATTTGGATGTAGTTCTGTCCTTGAGCTGTTCTTGTCTATTAATGTTCTGTATTATGTCATGTTTCATGTTTTGTGTGGACCCCAGGAAGAGTAGCTGCTGCTTTCGCAACAGCTAATGGGGATCCTAATAAAATACCAAATATAGTCATCTTACATGGGCCAGGTTTGTGAGCTCAGTACACTCGTCCACAGATATGACATCATCCAGAAGAACCCTCTGAGTTCCGTTCAGGGCCTTTGAGTTCTGGACCAGCTGCACACTGTCATACACCAAGGGGCCTCCTACAGTACACACACACACACACAGACAAACACACAAACACACACACCAGTACAGAGGATTAGGGCAAAGTGTTAACTTATCTATGCTGGAACACAATCTGTCCAGTTGTTAACACATCACATCATGGGTTAGTTCAATCTAAATTATGTTTTATTTACAGAGTGCTATAAACCTCTCAGGGACCTCCAGCCGTTCCATGTATTTCAATTATTCTAGAGCTAGCACACCTGATTCAATTTGTCAACCGATCAAGTGAGCTAGTTCAGGTCTACAACAAAATTGTGAAACATCTGGAGGACCCCGAGGAGAGGTTTGAAAACCACTGGTGTAGAGAACAGAGGATGTCCTACCTTCTCTGAGCTCCTGTGGCGGGGCCAGAGTGAAGTTCTTCTTTTCTGAGATGGGTACATACTCCATCCATCCATCTGTACCAGAGGGAATCCTGGGGGAATGTAAGAACAGAGCATGGAGTCAAATAAACAGGCAGACAGTACATGCTTATAACAAGGCTGAGACAATCATTCCGGCTGCGGTAGGCCTTCAGTACCTTGTTATGTTACATCTATGGCAGCAGCTAGCAGACAAATACATGTGTATTTGAGTATTTGTATTTGAAATACTTACTTTCTGTATTTTTCAAATAATGTGGCCAATTTTTTATTTTATTTTTTATTTAACCTTTATTTAACCAGGTAAACCAGTTGAGAACAAGTTCTCATTTACAACTGCGACCTGGCCAAGATAAAGCAAAGCAGTGCGATAAAAAAACAACAACACAGAGTTACATATGGGGTAAACAAAACATAAAGTCAAAAATACAACAGAAAATATATATACAGTGGGGGGAAAAAGTATTTAGTCAGCCACCAATTGTGCAAGTTCTCCCACTTAAAAAGATGAGAGGCCTGTAATTGTCACGGATTCGGCCGAGGCTGCTCCTCCTCCTTGCTCGGGCAGGCTTCGGCGTTCGTCGTCCCCGGAGTACTAGCTGCCACCGTTGAATGTTATCGATGTTGGTTTGGTTTTGTCTTCCTTGTACACCTGTTTCCATTTAGTGTTCATTATGTCCCCTATAAGTTTCTCGTTTTGTGTGTAGTTAGTTGTGTGTAATTGTCCGCCTGTCCGTTGGTGCTGTGTATTTTGCTCTCGTGTATTTAGAGTACGGACGCACTATTTGCGTATTCTTTTGTATTTTGTGTATTTGCGCACAGTATGCGTAATCGCTCGCCTCCGTTGTTGTTGAGGCCCGTTACTTTGTATTGTCGTGTTTCTAACAAGTAAAGTCTGTTGGACTAAGCTTCTGTGTCCTGCGCCTGACTCCAACACCACATCCACATCAGCCCTTGACAGAATTACACACCACCATGGAGTCAGCAGGAGCAGCAGCAGCACCCGAGTCGCTGGAGGATCGAGTCAGCGGTCAAGACGCCAGGATCCAGCAACTCGGATCCTCCCTGCATGAGGTGATCAACACTCTGCGCCGATGGGAGACCGGAGGAGTGCCCACACCTCCTCCAACCTTACCACCACCATCGGTCAGTCCTCCCATCCCAGCTCCGGAATCCAGTGGGATTCGGCTCTCACTCCCGAGGGCGTATGATGGCGCCACAGCCGGGTGTCAGGGGTTCCTCCTGCAGGTGGCACTCTACCTGGCCACCATACACCCGGCGCCCTCGGGATACGAGAGCGTTTCCGCCCTCATCTCCTGTCTCTCCGGCAAGGCGTTGGAGTGGGCCAACGCCGAATGGAGGGGAATAGACGCCGCCACCATCACCTACGCGGAGTTCTCCCGCCACTTCAGGGCAGTGTTCAACCATCCACCTGAGGGGAAAGCGGCGGGGGAGCGTCTATTCCACCTCCGACAGGGGAAGAGGAGCGCACAGGAGTTCGCCCTGGAATTCCGGACTCTAGCGGCGGATGCGGGGTGGAATGAGCGGACCACTATCGATGCAGTCTACGGGAGGACGTTCGTCGAGAGCTGGCCTGCAGGGACACCAACCTATCGTTCGACCAGTTGGTGGACATGTCCATCCATCTCGACACCCTGCTGGCTACCCGCGGACGTCCCGAGTGGGGGCCGTCCATTCCACCCTCCAGCACCTCCGAGCCGAGCCCTATGGAGCTCGGGGGTGCTGGCGCTAGAGAGAGGAGGAGAGGGAGCCCGAGGGGGGCCGTCCCCTGCACCAACTGTGGCCGTGGAGGGCACACTGCGGCTAGGTGCTGGGGAGGGTCTCCAGGGGGAGGGGACAACAGGCCACGCACTGGGGAGTCATTTCAGGTGAGTAGGCGCCCCACTTACCCAGAGCTCTCTGTTGTTCACTTATGTATACCTGTAAGACTTCCTCAGGTTGCACCTCATTCCCAGCATAAGGCGCTAGTCGATTCAGGCGCAGCTGGGAATTTTGTTGATCGGAATTTTTGTGTAAGGTTAGGGATTCCCCTCCTTCCTGTTGATGCTCCCTTCCCTGTCCATGCACTAGATAGCCGCCCGTTGGGATCGGGGTTGATTAGAGAGGTCACAGCACCACTTAAGATGAGTACGCAGGGGGGTCATGAGGAAACTATTCAGTTATATCTGATCGACTCTCCTGCGTATCCTGTGGTGCTGGGGCTTCCCTGGTTAATTACCCATAATCCCTCAATTTTGTGGCAACAGAGGGCTCTCAAGGAGTGGTCTGCCCAGTGTGTAGGGCGATGTCTAGGTGTTTCCGTGGGGGCGACCTCGGTGGAGAGTCCGAACCAAGTGCCCGCAATGCACATTCCCCCTGAGTATGAGGATTTAGCACTCGTGTTTAGCAAGACGAGGGCGTCGCGGTTGCCTCCTCATAGACAGGGGGATTGTGCGATAGACCTCCAGACAGGAGCAGCGCTTCCGCGGAGCCATGTGTATCCTCTGTCTCAAGAGGAGAAGGTGGCTATGGAGACATACATAGCCGAGTCTCTGAGACAGGGATACATACGGCCCTCCACTTCCCCTGCGTCCTCAAGTTTCTTTTTTGTGAAGAAGAAGGATGGAGGGTTGCGCTCGTGTATTGATTACCGTAGTCTCAATCAGATCACTGTGAAATACAGTTATCCACTCCCTCTGATTGCGAGTATGACGGAATCATTACACGGAGCGCGTTTCTTCACAAAACTGGATCTCAGGAGCGCCTACAACTTGGTGCGCATTAGGGAGGGAGATGAATGGAAGACAGCATTTAGTACCACCTCGGGTCATTATGAGTATCTCATCATGCCATACGGGTTAATGAATGCTCCTTCAGTCTTCCAATCGTTTGTGGACGAGATCTTCCGGGACATGCATGGGCAAGGTGTGGTGGTGTACATTGACGACATTCTAGTGTACTCTTCTACCCGAGCCGAGCATGTAGCCCTGGTGCGTCGAGTGTTGGGGAGGCTGTTGGAGCACGACTTGTATGTCAAGGCAGAGAAATGTCTGTTTTTCCAGGAGTCTGTCTCCTTTTTGGGTTATCGGTTGTCCGCGTCAGGGGTGAAGATGGAGGTTGACCGTGTGTCAGCCGTGCGTAATTGGCAAACCCCAACCACGGTTAAAGAGGTGCAGCAGTTTTGGGGTTTTGCCAATTACTACCGGAGGTTTATCCGGGGTTTTGGACAGGTGGCAGCTCCCATAACTTCCCTGCTGAAGGGGGGCCCGGTGCGTTTGCAGTGGTCAGCTGAGGCGGACAGGGCTTTTGGGAGACTGAAGGACCTGTTCACTTCGGCTCCGGTGCTGGCGCATCCGGACCCCGCTTTACCATTCCAGGTAGAGGTGGACGCGTCAGAGGCCGGTATTGGGGCCGTACTGTCGCAACGGTCCGGCACGCCACCTAAACTCCGCCCCTGTGCTTTTTATTCCAAGAAGCTCAGCCCAGCGGAGCGAAATTATGACGTAGGGGACAGGGAGCTGTTAGCCGTGGTACAGGCCCTAAAGGTGTGGAGGCATTGACTTGAGGGGGCTCAACACCCTTTTCTCATTTTGACTGACCACCATAACCTGGAATACATCCGGGCAGCTAGGAGATTGAACCCTCGTCAGGCTCGGTGGAACATGTTTCTAACCCGGTTCGTATTTAAAATAACTTACATCCCTGGGTCCCAGAACGGTAAGGCAGACGCCCTGTCCCGGCGGTATGATACAGAGGAGAGGTCCATTGAGCCCACTCCCATACTGCCGGAGTCTTGTCTGGTGGCACCGGTGGTGTGGGAGGTCGATGCCGAAATCGAGCGGGCGTTGCGTACCGACCCTAGTCCCCCAGAGTGTCCTGTGGGTCGGACGTACGTTCCGCTCGAGGTTCGGGATCGTCTGATTTATTGGGCTCATACGTCCCCCTCCTCCTGGACATCCAGGTATTGGCCGGACAGTGCACTGCCTTAGCGCTAACTACTGGTGGCCAACTTTAGCTAGGGATGTGAGGGTTTATGTCTCCTCCTGCTCGGTGTGCGCCCAGTGTAAGGCGCCTAGACACCTGCCCAGGGGGAAGTTACAACCCCTACCCATTCCACAACGGCCATGGTCTCACCTCTCGGTGGATTTCGTTACAGACCTTCCCCCCTCTCAGGGGAATACCACTATACTGGTCGTTGTGGATCGGTTCTCTAAGGCCTGTCGTCTCCTCCCAATGCCGGGTCTCCCTACTGCCCTACAGACCGCTGAGGCACTGTTCACCCACGTCTTTCGGCACTACGGGGTGCCCGAGGATATAGTGTCTGATCGAGGTCCCCAGTTCACCTCCAGAGTCTGGAGGGCGTTCATGGAGCGCTTGGGGGTCTCGGTGAGCCTTACCTCGGGGTACCACCCAGAGAGCAATGGGCAGGTAGAAAGAGTGAACCAGGATGTGGGTAGGTTTCTGAGATCTTATTGCCAGGGCCGGCCGGAGGAGTGGGCGAGGTATATCCCCTGGGCAGAGATGGCACAGAACTCTCTCGCCACTCCTCCACCAACCTAACCCCTTTCCAGTGTGTGTTGGGGTATCAGCCGGTTCTGGCACCATGGCATCAGAGCCAGATCGAAGCTCCTGCGGTGGATGAGTGGGTGCGGCGCTCGGAGGAGACGTGGAACGCTGCACACGTCCATCTGCAGCGGGCCATCCGTCGACAAAAGGCGAGCGCCGATCTCCACCGCAGTGAGGGTCCGGTGTACGCACCTGGAGATCGAGTCTGGCTCTCGACTCGAAACCTGCCCCTCCGCCTGCCCTGCTGGAAGCTGGGTCGGCGGTTTGTGGGGCCATTTAAAGTCCTGAGGAGATTGAACGAGGTGTGTTACAGGTTACAACTGCCTATTGATTATCACATTAACCCCTCGTTCCATGTGTTTCTTCTCAGGCTGGTGGTAGCTGGTCCACTCCAGGACTGTGAGATAAGAGAGACTCCTCCGCCCCAACTGGACATCGAGGGGGCTCCGGCGTACACAGTTCGGTCCATCATGGATTCGAGACGTCGGATGGGGGGTCTCCAATATCTCGTGGAGTGGGAGGAGTACGGCCCGGAGGAACGGTGCTGGGTGCCAAGGAGGGACATCTTAGATCCATCTCTCCTGACTGAGTTCCACCGTGGTCATCCCACGCGCCCTGCTCCGCGTCCTCCTGGTCGTCCCCGAGGCCGGGGTCGGCGCACGGCTGGAGCCACGCGTCAAGGGGGGGGTACTGTCACGGATTCGGCCGAGGCTGCTCCTCCTCCTTGCTCGGGCAGGCTTCGGCGTTCGTCGTCCCCGGAGTACTAGCTGCCACCATTGAATGTTATCGATGTTGGTTTGGTTTTGTCTTCCTTGTACACCTGTTTCCATTTAGTGTTCATTATGTCCCCTATACGTTTCTCGTTTTGTGTGTAGTTAGTTGTGTGTAATTGTCCGCCTGTCAATTGGTGCTGTGTATTTTGCTCTCGTGTATTTAGAGTACGGACGCACTATTTGCGTATTCTTTTGTATTTTGTGTATTTGCGCACAGTATGCGTCGTGTTTCTAACTAGTAAAGTCTGTTGGACTAAGCTTCTGTGTCCTGCGCCTGACTCCAACACCACATCCACATCAGCCCTTGACAGTAATTTTCATCATAGGTACACGTCAACTATGACAGACAAAATGAGAAAAAGAATTCCTGAAAATCACATTGTAGGATTTTTAATGAATTTATTTGCAAATTATGGTGGAAAATAAGTATTTGGTCAATAACAAAAGTTTCTCAATACTTTGTTATATACCCTTTGTTGGCAATAACACAGGTCAAACGTTTTCTGTAAGTCTTCACAAGGTTTTCACACACTGTTGCTGGTATTTTGGCCCATTCCTCCAAGCAGATCTCCTCTAGAGCAGTGATGTTTTGGGGCTGTCGTTGGCCAACAGACTTTCAACTCCCTCCAAAGATTTTCTATGGGGTTGAGATCTGGAGACTGGCTAGGCCACTCCAGGACCTTGAAATGCTTCTTACGAAGCCACTCCTTCGTTGCCCGGGCGGTGTGTTTGGGATCATTGTCATGCTGAAAGACCCAGCCACGTTTAATCTTCAATGCCCTTGCTGATGGAAGGAGGTTTTCACTCAAAATCTCACGATACATGGCCCCATTCATTCTTTCCTTTACACGGATGGTTCGTCCTGGTCCCTTTGCAGAAAAACAGCCCCAAAGCATGATGTTTCCACCCCCATGCTTCACAGTAGGTATGGTGTTCTTTGGATGCAACTCAGCATTCTTTGTCCTCCAAACACGACGAGTTGAGTTTTTACCAAAAAGTTCTATTTTGGTTTCATCTGACCATTTGACATTCTCCCAATCCTCTTCTGGATCATCCAAATGCACTCTAGCAAACTTCAGACGGGCCTGGACATGTACTGGCTTAAGCAGGGGGACATGTCTGGCACTGCAGGATTTGAGTCCCTGGCGGCGTAGTGTGTTACTGATGGTAGGCTTTGTTACTTTGGTCCCAGCTCTCTGCAGGTCATTCACTAGGTCCCCCCGTGTGGTTCTGGGATTTTTGCTCACCGTTCTTGTGATCATTTTGACCCCACGGGGTGAGATCTTGTGTGGAGCCCCAGATCGAGGGAGATTATCAGTGGTCTTGTATGTCTTCCATTTCCTAATAATTGCTCCCACAGTTGATTTCTTCAAACCAAGCTGCTTACCTATTGCAGATTCAGTCTTCCCAGCCTGGTGCAGGTCTACAATTTTGTTTCTGGTGTCCTTTGACAGCTCTTTGGTCTTGGCCATAGTGGAGTTTGGAGTGTGACTGTTTGAGGTTGTGGACAGGTGTCTTTTATACTGATAACAAGTTCAAACAGGTGCCATTAATAAAGGTAACGAGTGGAGGACAGAGGAGCCTCTTAAAGAAGAAGTTACAGGTCTGTGAGAGCCAGAAATCTTGCTTGTTTGTAGGTGACCAAATACTTATTTTCCACCATAATTTGCAAATAAATTCATTATAAATCCTACAATGTGATTTTCTGGATTTTTTTTCTCAATTTGTCTGTCATAGTTGACGTGTACCTATGATGAAAATTACAGGCCTCTCTCATCTTTTTAAGTGGGAGAACTTGCACAATTGGTGGCTGACTAAATACTTTTTTCCCCTACTGTACAGTGTGTGCAAATGTAGCAAGTTATGGAGGTAAGGCAATAAATAGGCCATAGTGCAAAATAATTACAATTTAGTATTAACACTGGAATGATAGATGTGCAAGAAAGGATGTGCAAATAGAGATACTGGGGTGCAAATGAGCAAAATAAATAACAATATGGGGATGAGGTAGTTGGGTGGGCTAATTTCAGATGGGCTATGTACAGGTGCAGTGATCGGTAAGGTGCTCTGACAACTGATGCTTAAAGTTAGTGAGGGAGATAAGAGTCTCCAGCTTCAGAGATTTTTGCAGTTCGTTCCAGTCATTGGCAGCAGAGAACTGGAAGGAATGGCGGCCAAAGGAGGAGTTGGCTTTGGGGATGACCAGTGAGATATACCTGCTGGAGCGCATACTACGGGTGGGTGTTGCTATGGTGACCAATGAGCTAAGATAAGGCGGGGATTTGCCTAGCAGTGATTTATAGATGACCTGGAGCCAGTGGGTTTGGCGATGAATATGTAGTGAGGACCAGCCAACAAGAGCGTACAGGTCACAGTGGTGGGTAGTATATGGGGCTTTGGTGACAAAACGGATGGCACTGTGATAGACTACATCCAATTTGCTGAGTAGAGTGTTGGAGGCTATTTTGTAAATGACATCGCCGAAGTCAAGGATCGGTAGGATAGTCAGTTTAACGAGGGCATGTTTGGCAGCATGAGTGAAGGAGGCTTTGTTGCGAAATAGGAAGCCGATTCTAGATTTCACTTTTGATTGGAGATGCTTAATGTGTGTCTGGAAGGATAGTTTACAGTCTAACCAGACACCTAGGTATTTGTAGTTGTCCACATACTCTAGGTCAGACCCGCCGAGAGTAGCGTTCGATTGAAGAGCATGCATTTAGTTTTACTAGTGTTTAAGAGCAGTTGGAGGCTACGGAAGGAGTGTTGTATGGCATTGAAGCTCGCTTTGAGGTTTGTTAACACAGTGTCCAATGAAGGGCCAGATGTATACAAAATGGTGTCGTCTGCGTAGAGGTGGATCTGAGAGTCAGGTTTCCTCAGTGCAGTGGGCAGCTGGGAGGAGGTGCTCTTATTCTCCATGGACTTTACAGTGTCCCAAAACTTTTTGGAGTTAGTGCTACAGGATGCAAATTTCTGTTTGAAAAAGCTAGCCTTTGCTTTCCTAACTGCTTGTGTATATTGGTTCCTAACTTCCCTGAAAAGTTGCATATCGCGGGGGCTATTCGATGCTAATGCAGTACGCCACAGGATGTTTTTGTGCGGGTCAAGGGCAGTCAAGTCTGAGGAGAACCAGGGGCTATATTTGTTCTTAGTTCTGAATTTTTTGAATGGGGCATGCTTATTTAAGATTGAGAGGAAAGCACTTTTAAAGAACAACCAGGCATCCTCTACTGACGGAATGAGATCGATATCCATCCAGGATATCTGGGCCAGGTCAATTAGGAAGGCCTGCTCGCTAAAGTGTTTTAGGGAGCGTTTGACAGTGATGAGGGGTGGTCGTTTGAACCCTGTGGCACCCCCATAGAGACTGCCATAGGTCCAGACAACAGGCCCTCCGATTTGACACATTGAACTCTATCTGAGAAGTAGTTGGTGAATCAGGCGAGGCAGTCATTTGAGAAACCAAGGCTATTTAGTCTGCCAATAAGAATGCGGTGGTTGACAGAGTCAAAAGCCTTGGCCAGGTCGATGAAGACGGCTGCACAGTACTGTCTATTATCGATTGCGGTTATAATATCGTTTAGGACCTTGAGCGTGGCTGAGGTGCACCCATGACCAGCTCGGAAACCGGCTTGCATAGTGGAAAAGGTACGGTGGGATTCGAAATGGTCGGTTCTCGTTTGACAGTGATGAGGGGTGGTCGTTTGACCGCGGACCCGTTACGGATGCAGGCAATAAGGCGAAAGAGATTCTGGTTGAAGACAGCGGAGGTGTATTTAGAGGGTAAATTAGTCAGGATGATATCTATGAGGGTGCCCATGTTTACAGATTGAGGGTTGTACCTGGTAGGTTCCTTTATAATTTGTGTGAGATTGAGGGCATCTAGTTTGGATTGTAGGATGGCCGGGGTGTTAAGCATTTCCCAGTTTAGGTCACCAAGCAGTACGAACTCTGAGGATAGATGGGAAGCAATCAATTCACATATGGTGTCCAGGGCACAGTTGGGGGCTGAGGGGGGTCTGTAGCAAGTGGCAACAGTGAGAGACTTATTTCTGGAAAGGTGGATTTTTAGAAGTAGGATCTCAAACTGTTTGGGCACAGACCTGTATAGTATGATAGAGCTCTGCAGGCTATCTCTACAATAGATTGCAACTCCACCCCCTTTGGCAGTTCTATCTAGACGGAAAATGTTGTAGTTGGGGATGGACATTTCTGAATTTTTGGTGGCCTTCCTAAGCCAGGATTCAGACACTGCTAGAACATCAGGGTTGGCGGAGTGTGCTAACGCAGTGAATAACTCAAACTTAGGAAGGAGGCTTCTGATGTTAACATGCAAAAAGCCAAGGCTTTTACGGTTACAGAAGTCAACAAATGATAGCGCCTGGGGAGTAGGAGTGATACTGGGGGCTGCAGGGCCTGGGTTAACCTCTACATCACCAGAGGAACAGAGGAGGACTAGAATAAGAATATGGCTAAAGGCTTTAAGAACTGGTCTTCTAGTGCGTTGGGTACAGAGAATAAAAGGTGCAGATTTCCGGGCGTTGTAGAATAGATTCAGGGCATTATGTACAGACAAGGATATGGAAGGATATGAGTACAGTGGAGGTAAACCTAAGCGTTGGGTAACAATGAAAGAGATAGCATCACTGGAGGCACCGATTGAGCCGGTCTCCGCGTGTATGGGGGGTGGAACAAAGGAGCTATTTGAGGCAGTTTGAGAGGGACTTGGGGCTCTACAGTGAAATGGTATTATAAGAACTAACTGGAACAGCAATAGGCAAGGCATATTGACATGGGAGAGAGGCATAAAGCAATCACAGGTGTTATTCGAGAGAGCTAAGACAACAACTGGTAATGGCGATGAAAGTTTGGGCTGAGGCTAAACAGATAAAACAGGACAGGGTACCATGTAAAGGAACAGTCCAGCAGGCATCAGCTGTGCAGCTGAGTGATCATAAGGTCCAGTGAACAGCAATGTGAGTCCGAGAGCAGTTTGAATTGGTGCTACCGCACAGGCGATCAGGAAGCACGGCTGTTGAATTGCGGGCCGGGGCTAGCAGATGGATCTTCGTGGTCGTCGCAACGAGAAGCCTGTTGAAACCACAGACGATTACATCGGCAGACCAGTCGTGATGGATCGGCGGGGCTCCGTGTCGACACTAGGAGGTCCCGCCCGGTTGACAGAGAGGTAGATAGCCGGGAGATGGGCCTGACTCGAGGCTAGCTCAAGGCGGATTAGCCAACCACAACATCCATTCGGTTGCAGCTAGCTAGTTGCGATGATCCGGTGTTAAAGGTCCAGTGATTCAGTGATTCCGGTAGAAAATCCAATATGTTCTGGGTCGATAACGCGCTATGCAGACTGGCTGATAATAGTCCAGGCTAGAGTTAGCTGGTAGGTAGTGCAGGCCACGGACAATGGTGGAAAAACCTGCTAATGGTGGCTAATAGCAAGTAGCTAGTTAGCTGGCTACTCCCGTCCGGTAGACAGAGAGGTAGATAGCCGGGATATGGGCCTGGCTCGAGGCTAGCTCAAGGCTAACTGGTGCTTGCTTCGGGGGCAGTGGTGATTAGCCAACAGCAACATCCATTCGGTTGCGGCTAGTTGGTTGCGATCAGGTGTTAAGGTCCAGTGATTCAGTTATTCCGGCAGAAAATCAGATGTTCTGGGTGAAAACCGCTAACGGTGGCTAATAGCAAGTAGCTAGTTAGCTGGCTAGCTAGTTTCAACAGGAGAATACGTTCCACATTGAGTGAGGCGGGTTGCAGGAAAGTATATTTAGTAGAAGGATGAAAAGTGTGATAGGGGAAATATATACAACAAAAGACAAAAGAAGAAAAAACAGGCTATTTACACGGACATACAACAGAGTACACGACCGCACTCCTACGCCATCTTGGATCAAACATTCAACTACTACTACAAATCAACTACTTCTATTTGATGTGTTTGAAAGTATTTCCAAATATATTCCGATATTCAACTTACTTGTATACTTATATATCAATATATATATATATATATATATATATATATATATATATATATATATATATATATATATATATATATATATATATATATATATATATATATATATATATATATATATCAATATATATATATATATATATCAAAATACTTACTTTGAAATGTCTTTGAAAGTAATTGAAATACCCTAAATAGTATTTGAACCCAGGTCAGGAGTCCAGTAAAAAGCATGAGAACACGCACACCCCAAAAAGTAGAAAAGGTGCTGATCAACGGAATATAGTAACGTGTGTAAAAAATAAATAAAGATATTCACACACATGCTTCAAATAAACTGATTCAATTATTGGGAGCATTATAAAGTGTGCAACTATATATTTTTTTTTCCACAACAGATTATACAGCATGCATGCTATACTGAAAGTATCCCATAGATGTCAGTGGTGTATACAACACAAAGCAGAGTCACTACAGTCAAATACGACACAGGATATAGTACCGTTTTCATTCATTTATTATTGTCTATAAGTGAAAAGCATCACTTGATTCTAACTATCTATCTGACACTGTGTTGTTCTTGTGAACTATACATCTGATATTCATTATTATACAGGACAACTACTGAACACGTTGACATTTCCAAGAGGATATTTCTAGGTTTGCTCACCTGTTAGAATCCTCTCGTCCACCTGTGCTGGTCCAGTAATGCTACAAGACAAGGTAAAACACTGACAGATCAGAATGTTACATTTTATTCATTTAGCGGACGCTCTTATCCAGAACAACTTACAGTTAGAGCATTCATCTTAAGGTATCTAGGTAAGACAACCACATATTACAGTCATAGTAAGTAAACCTACACTGAGTGTACAAAACATTAGGAACACCTTCCTAATATTGAGGTGCCCCCTTTTGCCCTCAGAACACCCTCAATTTGTCGGGGCATGGACTCTACAAGGTGTTGAAAGTGTTCCAAAGGGATACTGGCCCGTGTTGACTCCAATGTCAAGTTGGCTGGATGTCCTTTGGGTGGTGGACATTACTTGATACACACGGGAAACTGTTGAGCATGAAAAACCCAGCAGTGTTGCAGTTCTTGACACACCCTGTTCAAAGGCACTTACATATTTTGTCTTGCCAATTCACCTTCTGAATGGCACACATACACAATCCATGTTTCAATTGTCTGAATCAGGGATGGGCAACTGGGGACCCGCGGGCCGCCCCCCTTTTGTTGGCCCACGGACCAATTTCACCAATATATATATATATATTTTTTAGGAACTCAGTCGGTGTCTCAACTCACTGCTGAGAGTTAAAATCATAGAATACACAAGGTGCAATTTAGAAATGTGGTTGTGTATCAGCAGTCACTCAATTAGCCCATTTCAGATTAATTGTTTTAGATTGGTAAGTTAGTCTAGTGGTAGTAAGCATAATGGGGGTGGGGCCCATTGATCATCAGTTATCATATTAAAAACTGCAAACGTTTGCCTCCATCCATTGGCAAAATGTGCAGAATTGCAGGAAATTAACTTTAAAACTGCTAATATTTCTCAATAAGTAGAATAGCACGAACTGAGTGAAAAAATATATATACAGTGCCCTTGACTTTTTCCACATTTTGTTAAGTTACAGCCTTATTCTAAAATGGAGTTAATAAAAAAAATCCTCAGCAATCTACACACAATACCCCATAATGACAAAGCGAAAACAGGTTATTTACATATGTATTCAGACCCTTTGCTATGAGACTCGAAATTGAGCTCAGGTGCATTCTGTTTCCATTGATCATCCTTGAGATGTTTCTACAACTTGATTTACCACCTGTGGTAAATTCAATTGATTGGACATGATTTGGAAAGGCACACACCTGTCTATATAAGGTCCCACAGTTGACAGTGCATGTCAGAGCAAAAACCAAGCCATGAGGTTGAAGGAATTGTCCGTAGAGCGCCGAGACAGGATTGTGTTGAGGCACAGATCTGGGGAAGGGCACCAAAACATTCCTGCAGCATTGAAGGTCCCCAAGAACACAGTGGCCTCCATAATTCTTAAATGGAAGAAGTTTGGAACCACCAAGACTCTTCCTAGAGCTGGCCGCCCGGCCAAACTGACCAATCGGGGGAGAAGGGCCTTGGTCAGGAAGGTGATCAAGAACCCGATGGTCACTCTGACAGAGCTCTACAGTTCCTCTGTGGAGATGGGAGAACCTTCCAAAAGGACAACCATATCTGCAGCCCCTCACCAATCAGGCCTTTATGGTAGTGGTCAGACGGAAGCCACTCCTCAGTAAAAGGCACATGACAGCCCGCTTGGAGTTTGCCAAAAGGCACCTAAAGACTCTCAGACCATGAGAAAGAAGATTCTCTGGTCTGATGAAACCAAGATTGAACTCTTTGGCCTGAATGCCAAGTGTCACGTCTGGAGGAAACCTGGCACCATCCCTACGGTGAAGCATGGTGGTGGCAGCATCATGCTGTGGGGATGTTTTTCAGCGACCGGGACTGGGAGACTAATCAGGATCGAGACAAAGATGAACGGAGCAAAGTACAGAGAGATCCTTGATGAAAACCTGCTCCAGAGCGCTCAGGACCTCAGACTGGGGCGAAGGTTCACCTTCGAACAGGACAACGACCCTAAGCACACAGCCAAGACAACGCAGGAGTGGCTTCGGGACAAGTCTCTGAATGTCCTTGAGTGGCCCAGCCAGAGCCCGGACTTGAACCCGATCGAACATCTCTGGAGAGACCTGTATATAGCTGTGCAGCAATGCTCCCCATCCAACCTGACAGAGCTTGAGAGGATCTGCAGAGAAGAATGGGAGAAACTCCCCAAATACAGGTGTGGAAAGCTTGTAGCGTCATACCCAAGAAGACTCGATGCTGTAATCGCTGCCAAAGGTGCTTCAACAAAGTACTGAGTAAAGGGTCTGAATACTTTTGTAAATGTGATATTTCATTTGTTTTATATTTAATAAATTAGCAAACAATTCTAAAGACCCACGAGCCACTGCGGCCCCTAATGATGAGTTCTGATTTTTTTGTTGCCCCAACCCCCGTCAAAGTTGTCCATCCCTGGTCTGAATGCTTAAAAATCCTTCTTTAACCTGTATCCTCCCCTCATCTACAGTGATTGAAGTGGATTTAACAAGTGTCATCAATAAGGATAAATTGGTAGAGCATGGCGCTTGTAACGCCAGGGTAGTGGGTTCGATTCCCGGGACCACCCAAACGTAAAAATTAATGCACACATGACTGTAAGTCGCTTTGGATAAAAGCGTCTGCTAAATGGCATATTATTATATTATTATCATAGCTTTCACCTGGATTCACCTGGTCAGTCTATGTCATGTTCCTAATGTTTTGTACACTCAGTGTATATACTATATACAAACTCCTTATATAGTAATTTATATACTAATCTATACTACAACTATATGTAAATGATGCAGATTCAGAAGCATTATAGTGCAAAAAGTCCATGAATGAAAAGCTGGAGCACCGATGGGTTTCCATCATGGCCACAAGGTGGTGCTGTGTCCTGCGGACATAATGGTGTAACTACCAGGCACCTGTTACTGTCCTACATACGGCCCATATGTATCAACAAGCGTCACAGAGTACGAGTGCTGATCTAGGATCAGATCCCCCCCTCCATTTAATTTTATTCATTGTGATCTAAAAAGCAAAACTGATCCTAAATCAGTAATCTTGCTCCAGCTCTGGCTCTCATTTTTGTGCTCTATTAAAATAATTACTTGTTCCAGTAACGGGGCCAGAAATGTCACCCAATTGACCTTTCAGTAGTCATGGCAGCCATTCACAAGTATCAGAGACAGCCCAAAAAGTTCAAATAAGAGACTAAGTCGCCATTTGTCATCAATGTACTGTACTCACCCCTTCTGTAAATTCCACGTGCATGTTCTCACTGCCGATCACTAGTAGCTCCAGCTCCTGCTTATGGCGCCTCAGGTACCACTCAGCCTTCTGTAGACACACAGAGATATCGGGCAGCCCTGTTTATCTCAACAGGTAAAAACATTTTTTTTAATGACATCCCTTTAGCATATTACCTAGCTACTGAATCTCCCCAAATTGACCCCTTGAAGAAGAAATGTTTAGGAAGACTATTTTCATAACCACTATGCCTCTTATATCTTATCTCCTGTCCCTACCCTAACACCTCTTCCTCTTTCAGCAGCCAAGCCCCCTCCAGCCCTCTCATCGCCTTATTGCTGGACCCAATGGACTGTGCTATATTTCCCTCTCTATTGGGAAAAAGCACAAGAAAGAGGATTTCGGCACCCACCATCTCAGATTGTTCTGAACTCGTTTCTGTAGTTAGAAACAGATAAGATTAGCATTCCTGCAACATTATTTTGTTGAAATATAATTTGATCTCTGAAAAATTAAGTTAATTGATTGTATCCAAATTAGCCATTTTAATGTATAGGATGCATATAATATTCAATAAAAAAGTACCTAACATCTGATTTGTACAAACGTTTTTTAATAACAAGGAGTTAGACATGATGAATCCAATGAAATTGTCAAAAGCCAGCCAGGGACAACCCACGCCAATCCCACCTCAACAATGAGAATATTTACTGAACAAAAATATAAACGCAACATGTAAAGTGTTGGTCCCATGTTTCATGAGCTGAAATAAAATATCCCAGAAATGTCCCATTTGCACAAAAAGCTTATTTCTCTCAAATATTGTGCACACATTTGTTTACATCCCTGTTAGTGAGCATTTCTCCTTTGCCAAGATAATCCATCCATCTGACAAGTGTGGCATATTAAGGATCTGATTAGACAGCATGATCATTACACAGGTGCACCTTGTGCTGGGGACAATAAAAGGCTACTCTAAAATGTGCAGTTTTTTCACACAACACAATGCCACAGAAGTTTTGAGGGAGGGTGCAATTGTCATACTCATTGCAGGAATGTCCACCAGAGCTGTTGCCAGAGAATGTAATGTTCATTTCTCTACCATAAGTCGCCTCCAAAGTATTTTTATTGAATTTGGCAGTATGTCCAACTGGCCTCATACCGCAGACCACGTATAACCATGCCAGCCCAATTCCTCCACATCCAGCTTCTTCACCTGCGGGATCGTCTGAGACCAGTCACCCGTAGAGCTGATGAAACTGTGGTTTGCACAACTGAATAATTTCTGCACAAACTGTCAGAAACCGTCTCAGGGAAGCTCATCTGCGTGCTCGTCGTCCTCACCAGGGTCTTGACCTGACAGCAGTTCAGTGTCGTAACCAACTTCAGTAGGCAAATGCTCACCTTCAATGGCTCTTCACGGATGAATCCCAGTTTCAACTGTACCGGGCAGATGGCAGATGGCGTCATGTGGGTGAGCAGTTTACTGATGTCAACGTTGTGAACAGATTGCCCCATGGTGCCGGTGGGGTTATGGTATGGGCAGGCATAAGCTACAGACAATGTACACAATTGCATTTTATTTATGGCAATTTCAATGCACAGAGATACCGTGACGAGATCCTGAGGCCCATTGTCGTGCCATTCATCTGCCGCCATCACCTCATGTTTCAGCATGATAATGCACAGCCCCATGTTGCAAGGATCTGTACACAATTCCTGGAAGCTGAAAATGTCCCAGTTCTTCCATGGTCTGCATACTCACCAGACATGTCACCCATTGAGCAAGCATGTTTGGGATGCTCTGGATCGACATGTGTGACAGCGTGTTCCAGTTCCCGCCAATATCCGGCAACTTCGCACAGCCATTGCATGAGGCAAATAATGGTCACACGAGATACTGACTGGTTTTCTGATCAACACCCCTATCTTTTTTTTAAAGGTATCTGTAACCAACAGATGCATATCTGCTTTCCCAGTCATATGAAATCCATAGATTAGGGCCTAATGAATTCATTTCAATTGACTGATTTCCTTACATGAACTGTAACTCAGTAAAATCTTTGAAATTGTTGCATGTATATGCATGGTATACATCATCCAACAAAATGCTTACTTGCAGGTTCCTTCTCGACAATGCAACAACAATAAGAAATATAATCCAAGCCGCAGCTCCGTACTACTTGTCAGACATAGAGAACTGATACTGTATACTCAATGTTGGGTTGAGATTGGCGTGGGGTGTCTGTGAGTGGCCTTTGACCATTTCTTTGGATTCCTTATGTCTTACTCATTGTTAGAAAAAGTTTGGTCCAATTCGGATGTTAGATACTATATTTATTGAATATTTTATGAATCCTATAAATTAAAATGGCCAATTTGGGTGCAATCAAATTATATTTCAACAAAATATTGTTGCAGGAATGCTAATCTTATCTGTTTCTAACTACAGAAATGATTTCAGAACAATCTGAGATGGTGGGTGTCACGGCTTGCTGAAATGGCATGTAACGACCCTCTTGGCATTTCACAGCTGAGCTTTTTACTAGTCCTTCCTGGCAAGGTCTTAAAGAGGGCTGGTGTGACTGGAATGTCTTGGACTTACATTATAGAGGTTTGGAGTAGGAGAGGAGGAGAGGAATGAGGGAAAGAAGGTGTGATAATCTGCAATAGACAAGAAGGGGCGACGTTATGTTTTGAAACCTGAGCAGCCAGTAGCGTTTGCGGTGGCCGGAAACCGTAATGCAAACAGCTCCTAAATTGTTTCTGTGGGCATTGGCGCTTGATTTCCCCCTCCTCCCTGTTCCTGAAAGACAGGAGTCTTTGGCAGGAAGGCAGGCAGGCAGACCCCGGCTCTCTCCTGCTCTATATGCTGGCTAAATGAGGTCCCTAAGGCCGCAGAGAGAGAGAGATGAGAGAGGAATGGACAGGAAAGGAGAGAAGAGGGGCTGAGAGAGAGAGAGAGAAATATGGAATGGAGGAATGGAGAGTTTAGGGGCCGAGAGGAGAGAGCCAGAGGGACTGAGATGGTTGATGTCAGAGTCCTAACCATAGTCATCAGCTGCATTGGTTTGTCCGCTGGCATGCACACACACACAAACACATGCACACACACGCACACACACAATCTCTCTCTCACACACACACCCTGGCCGTACTGGGAGAACTCACATTCACTCTAATAGCTTCCAGGCTTTCCAGGAAAACGGGCCTGTAAGGGAGGGAGTGCAGAACAAGAGACTCCGTGGCTGTACAGAGAGTGGAGCAGGTTTGAGGGTTTGAAGTCAACCGTTTTTTGGGGGGACAAGTTCTTGGGGGCAAATCGGCCACTAATTTGCCAGTTAGTTCTCCAGGCAAACTGACTATAGATGCGTCCCAAATGGCACCCTATTCCCTACATAGGGAATAGTGTGCCATTTCAGATGCATCCTATTCCAAACGTCGGCTCTAAATTATCAGCACATTTACATTCCCAATAACCTGATAATTAGGAACACTTAGGGGATATAGTTGCCGGTAAACACAAATTATATGAGTCACTAAAAAATCTGGCATTAAATTTACGCAGCAATAACTGGCTTATAAAACCTATTGGGCAGTGAATCTGTAGGAATGAAAACTAAACATTGGGCCCCAACTCTTTGGCCATACAATGTAGAAAGAGTAACATTAACTGATTAAAGTCCCCTCCAATGTAAACTATTCCTTATAGTGCACTATTTCTTACTACCAAAAGTAGTGCACTATACTATATAGGGAATAGCTAGCCTGGGTACCAGTCTGTTTGTAACATCATGCCACTCCTTGCCACTCATTATCATGCCAAACAGTTTGGGTTAACAAGGAGTTGAAATTATAGCACAAAAATATCTGAGACCAGGCTAGGGAATAGGCCATGCTTGTCATGGTCAAAAGTAATGCACTATATCAGAAATAGCCCATCCGGGTCCTGATCAAAAGTAGTGCACTATATAGGGAATAGCCCATGCGTGTCCTGGTCAAAAGTAGTGCACTATATAGGGAATAGGGTGCCATTTTGGACGTAACCAAGGTCTTACCTCCCGGGGTTTGATGTCGTGGCCCACGGCCTCTCTGTAGTACTCCACGTTCTCTGTCATAAACTCCTCCCCCTCGTGGAACAGCAGGTAGGACTTGGCACACTCCAATGCCTCCTCCACCATGTTAACTGGAGAGACAGAGAGACAAAAAGAAGACATTATGAAATGGACATGTGTTACGTTCTGTGTATTGCTTAGCATTGGGATGTTCTTGTGTCGATAAAGCTTGTTTGAATTGAAAATGGAATTGAAAATTGAAATTGAAAGAAAGGGGGTAGAGATGGTGAGTGAGAGGAACAGAGAGCAAGAGAAAGAGAGAGAAACAGAGAGAGAGAGAGAGAGAAACAAATGGAGGTTAAAAGACATCCATCCATCCTTCTGAGCCCTGCCTAAACAAGAGGAACTGTCATCACACCTCCGTTACAGACTCCCTCCCTGAACTCCCCTGTAAGACAGCATCCCAAATGGCATCCTGTTCCCTATGTAGTGCACTACTTTTGACCAGGGCCCATGGAGCTCTGGTCAAAAGAAGTTCACTATATAGGGAATAGGGTGGCATTTGGGATGTACCCAGTATAACACACACTTCCTATTGGTTTCCACTCATAAAGTTCAGTACAGGTCCACATGTAATAAAGCCACCTAGGCCTGAATGAGATGTGTGTCTGAAACCTTTTGAAGTCTCGTGCGGCTGAACATTCCAGGGGCATGACCACAATGGAGCAAGCAGCAGTAGCGCTACAACAGTGAGAGGCAGTCAGAGGCTAGCTGAGATACTGGAAACACAGACAGACACACAGGCGCACACACACACGCACACACATACACAGCTGCTCCAGGCTCCAGGCTAGGGCTGTATCTCCTGTTCCTAAAGTGCTTACAGCGAGCAGTGACTTGCAAGTAACACATACACACATTTTTTTTTTTTTTTTACATTTTAGTCATTTTAGCAGACGCTCTTATCTAGAGCGACTTACAGTTAATGAGTGCATGCATTTTTCATACACACATGCACGCACACATGCGCACGACACCCACACATCCACCCAACACACGTGGACTTTACTATCTTGTAAAGCAGCTGGGCTCACATATCACTTCCCGGCGGGGCGGCCAGGCCCGAGGCAGCAGCGTTTCTGCGGTCAGCGCGTCTCCTCCGGTTCCCCTGGTTCCCAGGTCATAAACAGTGAGGGGCTTTGAGGCCGTTAAAAACGACAATGTCACCGAACGGATCATTGAGGAAACAGCTTCCCGCAGAGCAATGTGAGACTGTTGAGTGATGGGGAGACTTTTAAACAGGCGACTCAAGACTTGCAGACTGGAAGTCTAGAAGAACAGCTAGCATGCTAGCTATAACCATAGACTTCCAGTCATTGCACTAACGCTAGTTAGCATTGGCCTGCGAAACTAACTCACTTCCCTCATACTGGACACAGATATATAAAAAGGGTATCCATGAGTTCATCTGACTCTAGGGAAGTAGATAAAGGACTTCATTGCCAAAATCCCGAACTACCCCTTTAAGTTCTGCTGCTGGGAATGATTCATTGAGCTCTGGTGTTTTTCATAGGATCCCATGAGCCACTTGGGTTTATTCTGATAAGCTCATAAAAATTTACCACATTGGCTTATCCTTCCTTCTCTCCTTTCCTATGTTGTCCTGCCAGTCTGGGCCTGTATTCACAAAGTGTCTCAGATTAGGAATGCTGATCTAGGATCAGGTCCATCCTGTCCATTCATTACAATCTAAAAGGTAGAGCTGATCCTAGATCAGCACTCCTACTCTGAGAAGCTTTATGAATACGAGTCCTGGCCTATCTCCACAGCTCTTTGTGATTTGCCCTAATCCCTGCCTTTTCAAACGCCTGTGACCAGGTGTTTCTCAGCTCTCTGTCTCTTTCGCTCTGTCTCTGAGAGTCAGCAGGGGAATACTTATCTAATTAATGATAATTCGATATAGGTGTGTTAGTGTTAGTGAATAAAAGCCTGTACACACTACATCGCTGTAGTCTGAACACCACACCCTGTGGTGTGTAAAGTCGGCAAGCAGGGTCAAGTAGGGTCAAGTAGGGTGCGGTTAGGTAAGACTTGGGGCTGGATTCAATCCGTATCGCAGAAGCATCTCGGAAGACCCACACTCAAATGTAAAGGTAATTTCCGATTGAGCCGACATATGCAGCGTTTACCGTGAATGCAGTCTCTGCGAAAGCGGAAACATTGCCTTTAAATTTCAATCTAGCTATAGCGCGGATCTTCGGCGATACTTCTATACCTTACTCTGGAAGTCGGTGAACTGCAGGTAGTCATAATGTAGAGGTAAACTAGATTAAAGTAGGGTGCAGTAGGGTAATGTTACTCACGCTGGAAGTAAGCAAACTGCAGGTAGTCGTAATGTAGAGGCAGGTAGTTCTCCATTGGAGACAGACGGCCGGGCCGGGTGGACAGGTCTCTCACACACTCGTGTTCACAGTGCAGCGCCTGGGTGAAGTGGTCTGAAACACACACAGGAGGATAGGGGGGATACAGGTATATTTATACATTCATAAGCATTTTTAAAGCAGAGTAATGTCCTCCTGAGGAAAAGCATTGAGTAGTATGATAATGATGAGGAACCATTCACAATGCCTACCTTAATGTTTCATGCAGTATTCTCATCCAACTGATTACCATACATTCTTCATTGCTATCACAAAGGTTTATTTTCAGCCATGTCGCCACTGATTTACTGTAGATATTGTGCTTTGCATTCTCTGTACTAGATTTGTAATCATTCTAGACACGTCAGTCCATCACTTGGTTCTATCAGAGATTCAGTGTCTAATAGAGCCAATTAAAGGGTGTTTTCTTTTTCTTTGTATTACATTTAGCCTAATGCACTGAGACTCTCAGGTCTACTGAGGAATAATATCCTAAAGACACACACACACACACACCTTAGCGTTCAACAACGTTTTCATCATCTTCCACACACAGGGGGTAACATTAGTGGGTGAATGAAACATTTAGCACAGTTGACCTATTGACATGTACAGTGGGGAAAAAAAGTATTTAGTCAGCCACCAATTGTGCAAGTTCTCCCACTTAAAAAGATGAGAGAGGCCTGTAATTTTCATCATAGGTACACGTCAACTATGACAGACAAATTGAGATTATTTTTTCCAGAAAATCACATTGTAGGATTTTTAATGAATTTATTTGCAAATTATGGTGGAAAATAAGTATTTGGTCAATAACAAAAGTTTCTCAATACTTTGTTATATACCCTTTGTTGGCAATGACACAGGTCAAACGTTTTCTGTAAGTCTTCACAAGGTTTTCACACACTGTTGCTGGTATTTTGGCCCATTCCTCCATGCAGATCTCCTCTAGAGCAGTGATGTTTTGGGGCTGTCGCTGGGCAACACAGACTTTCAACTCCCTCCAAAGATTTTCTATGGGGTTGAGATCTGGAGACTGGCTAGGCCACTCCAGGACCTTGAAATGCTTCTTACGAAGCCACTCCTTCGTTGCCCGGGCGGTGTGTTTGGGATCATTGTCATGATGAAAGACCCAGCCACGTTTCATCTTCAATGCCCTTGCTGATGGAAGGAGGTTTTCACTCAAAATCTCACGATACATGGCCCCATTCATTCTTTCCTTTACACGGATGGTTCGTCCTGGTCCCTTTGCAGAAAAACAGCCCCAAAGCATGATGTTTCCACCCCCATGCTTCACAGTAGGTATGGTGTTCTTTGGATGCAACTCAGCATTCTTTGTCCTCCAAACACGACGAGTTGAGTTTTTACCAAAAAGTTCTATTTTGGTTTCATCTGACCATATGACATTCTCCCAATCCTCTTCTGGATCATCCAAATGCACTCTAGCAAACTTCAGACGGGCCTGGACATGTACTGGCTTAAGCAGGGGGACACGTCTGGCACTGCAGGATTTGAGTCCCTGGCGGCGTAGTGTGTTACTGATGGTAGGCTTTGTTACTTTGGTCCCAGCTCTCTGCAGGTCATTCACTAGGTCCCCCTGTGTGGTTCTGGGATTTTTGCTCACCGTTCTTGTGATCATTTTGACCCCACGGGGTGAGATCTTGCGTGGAGCCCCAGATCGAGGGAGATTATCAGTGGTCTTGTATGTCTTCCATTTCCTAATAATTGCTCCCACAGTTGATTTCTTCAAACCAAGCTGCTTACCTATTGCAGATTCAGTCTTCCCAGCCTGGTGCAGGTCTACAATTTTGTTTCTGGTGTCCTTTGACAGCTCTTTGGTCTTGGCCATAGTGGAGTTTGGAGTGTGACTGTTTGAGGTTGTGGACACGTGTCTTTTATACTGATAACAAGTTCAAACAGGTGCCATTAATACAGGTAACGAGTGGAGGACAGAGGAGCCTCTTAAAGAAGAAGTTACAGGTCTGTGAGAGCCAGAAATCTTGCTTGTTTGTAGGTGACCAAATACTTATTTTCCACCATAATTTGCTAATTTAAATTCATTAAAAATCCTACAATGTGATTTTCTGGATTTTTTTCCTCATTTTGTCTGTCATAGTTGACGTGTACCTATGATGAAATGTACAGGCCTCTCTCATCTTTTTAAGTGGGAGAACTTGCACAATTGGTGGCTGACTAAATACTTTTTTTCCCCACTGTATGTATAAAATATCATAATTATTTCTCTATGACAAACAAAAAATAAAAAGATTACCGAGGTGGGATTCAGGTTACCCAATGTCCCCCGATGACCACCAATGACATGCTACAGTGAAGTCAACCACTGTGAAATCACAGGTCAGAGCAGCCCAGACAACCGGATACTCCTGTTTCTCTATAACTAGACAACAACAACAATAATCTCTTCTCTCGTTGCTAGACTTTGTATTTGTTGATTTGTTGCCCAGAACACGTTTGTATTTGTTGCTCTCACACATGGATGGAGAAAAAATGCCTGAGGTTATTACAAATCATATTTCCATTCTTTAGGAGAGTCAGTAATGTTGATTTCCCCATAACCATGGAAGACAGTATGTCGGAAGACAGTATACCACTACGGGATCACATAAATATATAACAATGTGAATACTGTAGTGTAAAGGAAAATGATTCCCTTCCATTCACATGTACACTACATGACCAAAAGTATGTGGACACCTGCTCGTCGAACATCTCATTCCAAAACCATGGGCATTAATATGGAGTTGGTCCCCCCTTTGCTGCTATAACAGCCTCCACTCTTCTGGAACATTGCTGCTGGGACTTCAATTCAGCCACAAGAGCATTAGTGCGGTCGGGCACTGATGTCGGACAATTAGGCCTGGCTCGCAGTCACCGTTCCAATTCATCCCAAAGGTGTTCGATGGAGTTGAGGTCAGGGCTCTGCGCAGGCCAGTCAAGTTCTTCCACACTGATCTCGACAAACCATTTCTGTATGGACCTTGCTTTGTGCATGCGAGCATTGTCAAGCTGAAACAGGTCAGGGCCTTCCCCAAACTGTTGCCACAAAATTGGGAGCACAGAATCGTCTAGAATGTCATTGTATGCTGTAGCGTTAAGATTCCCCTTCACTGGAACTAAGAGGCCTAGCCCAAACCATGAAAAACAGCCCCAGACCATTATTCCTCCTCCACCAAACTTTACAATTGCACTATGCATTGGGGCAGATAGCATTCTCCTGGCATCCGCAGAAACCCAGATTTGTCTGTCGGACTGCCAGATGGTGAAGCGTGATTCATCTCTCCAGAGAACACGTTTCCACTGCTCCAGTGTCCAATGGCGTAAAGCTTTACACCACTCCAGCTGACGCTTGGCATTGCGCATGGTGATCTTAGGCTTGTGTGCGGCTGCTCGGCCATGGAAACCCATTTCATGAAGCTCCCGATGAACAGTTCTTGTGCTGACGTTGCTTCCTGTGGCAGTTTGGAACTCGGTAGTGAGTGTTGCAACCGAGGACAGACAATTTTTAAGTGCTGCGTGCTTCAGCCCTCGGCAGTCCTGTTCTGTGAGCTTGTGTGGCCTACCACTTCGTGGCTGAGCCGTTGTTGCCCCTAGATGTTTCCACTTCACAATAACAGCACTTACCGTTGACCGGGGCAGCTCTAGCAGGGCAGAAATTTGACAAACTGACTTGTTGGAAAGGTGGCATCCTATGACGGTGCCACGTTGAAAGTCACAGAGCTCTTTAGTAAGGCCATTCTACTGCCAATGTTTGTCTATGGAGATTGCATGGCTGTGTGCTCGATTAAATACACATGTCAG